AGCTGGAAGTGAGGAAGATGCCAAGCAAACAGCTCTAGGAGGAATGACTATCTTGACAACAAACCACTAAGAAAACACACTTTCTCTTGCCTACTTTTTTCTTTTAATATTTTATTTTTTGACAGAGAGAGAGAGACAGCAAGAGAGGGAACACAAGCAGGGGGAGTGGGAGAGGGAGAAGCAGGCTTCCTGCTGAGCAGGAAGCCCGATGTGGGGCTCGATCCCAGGACCCTGGGATCATGACCTGAGTCAAAGGCAGATGCTTAATGACTGAGCCACCCAGGCGCCCCTCTCTTGCCTACTTTTTAAGAGATGATGAAGTACCATAAACCAGGAGGCACAGTTTTTAAAAGCTGTTGATTCTAGGAAGTGGCACTTATGGGGCAACTCATGCATTCTTGCTTAGTCTTGCGGAACACTGATATTGAGAGGTCAGTATTAAGGAGTTGCTATGGAAATCTTTTCCTCAAACTCTTGTGCTCTGTTAGTGGAAAAGTAAAAAGATGTAGTCGCCATGGAAAATAATATAGTGATTCCTCAAAAAATTAAAAATAGAATCACCATAAGATCTAGCAATTCCATTTCTGGATATAAACCCAAAAGAATCTTGGATCTTCAAGAGATATTTGCACACCCATGTTCATGAAGCATTATTCACAAGAGCCAAAATATGGAAGCAACCCAAGCGGCCAACAACAGATGAATGGATAAACAAAATGCGGTTATATACATACAATGGAATATTACTCAGCCTTAAAAAGGAAGGAAATTCTGACATATGCTTCAACATGGATGAACCTTGAACACATTAAGTGAAATAAGCCAGTCACAACATGACAAATACTGTATGAGTCCACCTATATGAGGTATGTAGAGCAGTCAAAGTCATAGGGACAGAGAGTAGAATGGGGGTTGCCAAGGGCTGCGGGAGGGAGGAAGGAAGGAGAGTTATTGTTTAACAGAGAGTTTCAGTTCTGCAAGATAAAGAAGTTTTGTGGATGGATGATAATGGTTGCAAAAACTAATGTGAACGTACTAATACCACTTTAAAAATGGTAAATCGGTGTTCTATATATGTTACCGTTTAGAAAAAACAAAGATTAAATCTTTCAGCCAATTCTCAGGGAAAATTCCGCACTCTCTTCTGCCATATTTTAAGTTTGGTACCACCTATAGCTTATCTGTTCTCTGACACAAACAGAAGGCAAAATAAATGAACACACAGGACATGGGCATCCATGAAATACTCTGAGACTCACCAGAGGTAGGCTTCATTTGGCAGCTCTGTGAGCATACAAATGCTCACGGCTGTGATTTATATATATAACAGATTTTCTAAGAAAATTTGTTTTATGATGCTTTGGAAAATAGAAATGTTCCTTTAAGAAAACCCGAACAAATTCGATTGTTCAGTCCCCTTTGCCCACAGTTTAATAATCATTATGTCAAGGAAGTCTACTTCAATGGCTCTCAGTCGTGCAAAGGTCAAAGGTTCTAAAGCAAATTTAATTTCTGTAAGAGGGAAATATCATTGCCTAAGGCTTTATCATAAGTAGGACTGTCCCACGGGGAATAAGGACCCAGAACCAAAGCTGTTATAACATTTCCTATCTTCATACTAATTTAAAGTTTATAAAGCAATTCCAAACACACGCTTTCATCTGAACCTCACAAGCCACTCCATAGGGTAGGTTTTAATGGCACCAATTTTGAGGGGAACACAGAGTTTAAGTGATTTGATCAAGATCAACAAGCTACTATGCGGGTCAAACCTAGGTCTTATAAGTTCAAACCCATTTTTGTATTTCCCTAAACCTTAAATTTAGCTCTCCAGTCGCAGGCTTTGTTGATCTCCAGACAAGGAAACCTTCACTGCTGGGGTCCGAGGGCCACGAAAAGGAGTGTATACAGCAGGACCTGTCACAGCAGCACTGGGGCCTCACCTCCTCCGCCAGAAAATGAGATATTACTTGACATACGCACCAGTCAGTATTCTTTGTAGGATCCAAGGAAATTATATGTGAGAACATAAAAGCATAAAATAAAATGTTAAGTCATTAAAAGGCATATAGTTGTCAGGAGACTGAGATTTCCCGACTCACAATCAGGAAGGTGGAGTGTGGAGGTGAGCATGTATGCAAAACAAACTAACTGACCAAAAAGCCTGACTGGTGCCCGTGATGGGCTAGAAGTAGTGACAAACCGGGTACTTTAGGGGGGCAGGAGGCTGGGGGAGACAAACTGGCCACTGTCCCAGAGACAATACTGAGGTCCCAGAGACCCTAACCTCTCAGGCCTTTCTTCACTCAGACATTTCAAGACGGTAAGGAAGCATGTAGGGTAATCCTATCTATATCCTATCTGCATCCTTGGATAAAGAGGCCACGGAACCTAATGGTGCTACAGGCTGAATGTTACAGTACATACAAGAGTCGGCCACAGTGGCAACCCACCCTGCTCAGTCCAGATTCTGGAGGGCTCCAGGAAGGGTTGGAGCTCAAGGATTTGCTAGGTCTAGCTACCGCTTCTACTCTGGGGCTTGGCGGCTTCCTGACACTGTGGGCTGTGCCTTCATTTATTCATCCTCAAGGAGTGGATTGGAGGCCAGTTGGCAGAGGCACAGGTGGAAGGCTATGGAGCCAGTAGTCTGGTATTTGGGAGCTGGGGACAGAAATGGAGAGCAATGGGGCCGCCATAAGCCTTGCAGCCTCAGGTTTTACTTTGTTCCTTCATCCAATCTGCAAATATTCGTGGAGTGCCAGCTCTAAGTTTTCTGAGCACTGGCTACGCAGTGCTAGATCAGACAGCAAGGCCCTCCTTCAGCACACTGACATCCTGGTGGGGAAAGACAGATAATGAACCAAAGACACTATGACAGTGTCATAGTAAGTGCTATGAAGAAAAAAGCCAGGAAGTGTGACTGAGAGACCACGATGGGCCTGAGAAGACAGCATTTAAGCAGAGACTCAAATGCCAGATGACAAGGAAGAAAAGAGATGGAGGTACACAAAGCTTCCCAGGCAGAGTACCAGGAATACTTTGTCGTGCAAAGGCCCTGAGGTGAGAACAAGCTTCGCCTGTAGGAGGAAAGACGGAAGAAAAGAATGCTATGAGCTCAGGTTAGAGGGGTAGCCGCAGGGCTACCAGATTAGTTAGGGCCTTTCAGGTCACAGTAAGAAGTCTGGATTTTATGCTCGGTGATACGGAAATTCACTGGAGCACAAAGGAGTGACATGTCTAATTTATGTTTTCAGATGAGTTTGGCCTGACAGATCATAAAACAAATAAGATACCTCTGATATTCTCTATTAGAATGTTCCATTTTAATAGATTTCCCATTAAAACCAAGAGGGGCCATGGCTTAATTGGTATTAAAGTGTACACCAGTATCACTTTAGCAGGAATCCCCCGGAGTGAGAGAAATATGGAGGATCAGGAGACAGGAGAAATGACACTAAGGGAGGCAGGATGGCAGCCAGCTATCTCTGCTGCCTCCCAGGCTCATCTTCACAACCCTCCACAACTCATCTCTACAACCGGGAGTTGATATCCTGAGCCACCTGGCCTGTGTGCCTGGCTCCTCATCCCTGATCGGAAGGGCACCCGTGAGAGCTGCAGAGGACAGCTACTCGCCTGTGGAGCCTCATCTTCTGGCCTGTGCCAAGAGGCCACCCTTCCAGCTTCCACAGCTCACGGGCTATCTGGGAAAGTGTAAGGCAAGAACCCTGAGGGGTGTCAGAGGGAGAATGCTTCAATAACCTCTTTTTCCTGTCTGATCCCATGAATGCCACAACAGGGAGGAAAAAGAGGCCAGTAGGCCCCAGCCTGAGTTTCCAGCGCTCTGCTAAAAACTGGCTTGTCTAGGTACTGGCAAGCATACCCGAACGATACAACAGAGAAAAGGGCCTCTACTTGATTCCTTTCTTCCCTTTTCTTTAACTATCCGATGCTGAATCATTCCTTGGTGACCTTAGGCATTTTTGACCTACATCCAGGTCCAGCAAGCTATAAAGTTACACAACACTACCAGATCAAGGCAGGTTTGCTTCCCCTAAGGAGGATCAACAAATTGTCTAAAGAAATAAAAACTCTCACGGCACGCTTGCTGCAGTCTGTCTTACTAAGTAGATGGTACAAACATCACAGTCACTTCCAATCTTGAGTCAATCAAATACCTTTAATATTCTGGGAGAGAGAAGAACCAAACAGATCCTATTAGTTTAAAACCAAGAACAGGCCGGGGTATGAATGAGAAAAAAAAAAACAAGGAACAGGAACAAAATGGTGGCTATATGCTTCTAAAGTGTTGGATCTATTTGCTTTTTCAAAAAGACTGAGAGAGAAGAGAAAGGGTGGCTTCTGTGTCTCACATCATGCTCCCCACTCCACCCCCAAAAAGATGGGGAGGAGAGTAGGGGAGAAATCATTGGCATCCATGAGCTCCAAATAGAAAGCATCCAATTATTGTTTCAAAAGCTATTTCAGTCGGAACACACTAACAATTTCTTACTTTTTTTTTTTAGACTGCTCACTTAAAAATCAGGATATAGCAGGCCTAAAGGGATATTCAAACTCATTCAGTCCAAAACACTTCACTGATGAAGAGTCAAGCCCAGAAGGTTTCAGATAGTAGAAGTGCCAGGAAGGGAACCTGAGTCTCCTGACTCACATTCCCTTTAGCTTTTATTTATAAAAGCACATTATAGGAAAACAGGAACGGGACAGGCAATCACCAGTAATCCAATCATCATACTAACCACTATTAGCATTTTGTTCCTTCTATCACATGCTTATAGGTGCCCCCCCCAACATGTTATGATCATATTGGACTAACGTTCCTTCTAATACACAGGCTGTTCCTGTTATCAAAAAATACATAACAGCAGCTATTATTAGGGCTTGGAATTCACATCCTTTTTATGGAGTGTTTAAACAACTCTCATGAGACCCTGGACACAAGAATCAAGCTGCTTAAGCTCAGATCAGTTCGGTTTACCTACCTGGTGCATCAGGTACTTGAAGAGGAATGAAAGGATCAGATACACTTAGAAGCGGGAGGCTAGAATCCACAGTCTGCCCACCCTTCCTTTTTTCAGCTGGAGTTGGTTGGAGGGGAAGAAAGGGTCAAGGAGAGAAAAAAAGAGAAAAGCAGAAAACATCAAGTAAACCTAGATGAATTTACCATCTATTAACCCAACAGCTCAAATTGTAGAGTAAATCAAAACTCAGAGGCAGAATAAAGAGGGATGAGTGGATATAATCCAGCGTAATGGCAAAATATGTATGAGAGATACAATCTGGTCCTTGCAACACACTCAAAGATGCAACTGACGATAAAACTAGTATATTCATACACCTGAGATCCACTTCTTCCTGTGTGGAAGCCTATAGGGATCTCTTCCAGATTCCTGTAGCAACTATTGTCCGTATCACACACTGTAGCATGTAAACAAACACTGTTCTGTAATCTAACACAGATGTTACGTGCTTCAGTATGCCCTCTACCATCCTGAGGTCACTGTATCACCAAACGTCTATTACAGTGCCAGGCAGACAGACACAGACACAGACCTTGTCTGTTGCAAGGTCAGACAGGCCCTAACTTCTGGACTACATCTAACATTCACTGACATTCATTCTATACTTGGCAAACTTGCAGATTTACAAAAATCTATACACCCTGTGGGATATCAGGGCTTGAAGGGGTCTTAGGATTTTATGGCACAATTTTCTTATTTTACAGAAAAGAAAATGAAGCCCAGAAGTTAAGAGGCTAGCCAGAGGTCTACCAGCAAACCCAAGGTCAGAACCCAGGCTTGCTGGTCTCCTACTTAGCATTCTTTTTTTTTTTTTTAAAGATTTTATTTATTTATTTGAGAGAGAGAGAAAGAGAGACAGAGAGCATGAGAGGGAGGAGGGTCAGAGGGAGAAGCAGACTCCCTGCCGAGCAGGGAGCCCAATGCGGGACTCGATCCCGGGACTCCAGGACCATGACCTGAGCCGAAGGCAGTCGCTTAACCGACTGAGCCACCCAGGCGCCCCTCCTACTTAGCATTCTTTACATTGCATTTTAATACTCATTTGTTCTTTAAAATCTCATTTTGCCTTCTATAGATTTAAAACCTTTTTATTTTCAAATGATTATGAAATCATAGGAATTTGCTATACATAGAGTCCTGGGAACCTTCAACCAGCTTCCCTCCATGGTTAGATCTTTTACAACTATAGGACAGTATCACTGATACTGTTACGATACTGTTAACTACACTTTATTCAGTTGTCACATGCATTTGCGCGCACGCGTGTGTATGTGTGTGCGCAGGCAGTTCTTCCCAATTAGATCCTATGTATAGGTTAACATAAGCACCACTGTGACAATGATAAAGAACTGTTCCATCAAACCAAAGAACCCCTTTGTTGTTCTCCTTTATAGTCATACCCACTCCTTACTCCAGTCCCTACCCCCTGGAATCCACTAATCTGTTCTCAATCTCTATAATTTTGTCATTTTGAGAAGGTTATTAAATGGGTTTTTAACTAAGCTTCTTTAAAGGTAGATGGAGGAAGACAAGGGTAAAATCACTGCTCTTAAAATTTCTATAATATTTTCAAATGAGACACAGTAGAATACATTAGAAGGAAAAGAACAAATCATAAAACTGGGTATATTCATTTTGAAAAAAGTATATATACAGAAATAAAATTATGGACATAAATATTGTAAAATGTCAGCAATGTTTTCCTCTGGGGTCTGGGATTGTGAGTTCTTTTATCTTGTTTCTTTGGGCTTTTAGTCATTTTTCCAAAATTACACAAGTGAATGTGTATAACTTAACAGAAAAATATTTTAAATAAAGAGGTACAATGTCAAGTTTTAAATGTCTATTCCAACATATGGACACAGTTCATCATTTTTGCAGCTTTTACCATAAAAGTGTTTAAAATAACCCTTCTGTCATCCTCTCTGACTCACTGCCAAATTTCCTGCTTATTTCCTCCCTTGGTTGATCAGAAGGTTTAAAATAGTGAACAGTCTGAGCTTGATTAGAAAACATCTAAAAATGATGCTATCCTATACTTCATACAAATGAGGACATATTAATTTCTGGGATTTAGATATAATTTTCTTTCATTATAAAAAACAAAAGTGTTGCACACATAACCGTTTACACCACAAACAAGGACGAAGGAAAAATACTAAATGCTCATTTAAAAAAGGCTGGATAAGGGGCGCCTGGGTGGCTCAGTCGTTAAGCGTCTGCCTTGGGCTCAGGTCATGATCCCAGGGTCCTGGGATCGAGCCCCACATCGGGCTCCCTGCTCTGCGGGAAGCCTGCTTCTCCCTCTCCCACTCCCCCTGCTTGTGTTCCCTCTCTCGCTGTGTCTCTCTCTGTCAAATAAATAAATAAAATCTTTAAAAGAAAAAAAGGCTGGATAAGATGAAAAAAATCTGAAGATGTTTTATAATGTTCGTAAAAGCTAGTGTCACTGATTTACAAAGTTTCTTGAGATGGGGTTATGACTACAGTTTCTGAGCTGGGCTGCTCAGGTACAACTCTCTGGTATGTCATTCTCCAGCTGTCACCTAGGCTGGGGGGCGGTGGTAAGGGCAGAGGGAGAAGCGGACTTCCTGCTGAGCAAGGAGCCCAATGCGGGGGATGTGGGGCTCGATCCCAGCACCCTGAGATCATGACCTGAGCAGAAGGCAGATGCTTAACCGACTGAGCCACCCAGGTGCCCCTTGAGAGCTGTTTTAAGGATGACCTGAGATAATGCATAAAAAAGCACTTAACCAGTGCAAGTGCTCAGTATATGTTCACTGTTATTACTGTTTTAACTACTCAAATATATGTTTTTTAAAGCAGGGCCTTTAAGTCCCTTAAAAAATACAGCCATTTATAGCATTCAAAGTAAGCATAAAGGGGGAGAAAAGGCTAAAACAAAAATAAAAACTGTTTTAAAAATAGTTCATACAGGGGCGCCTGGATGGTGCAGTCATTTGAGTGCTGGACTCTTGGTTTCCATTCGGGTCATGGTCTTAGGTTCATGGGATCGAGCCCTGCGTCAGGCTCCGTGCTCAGTGTGGAGTCTGCTTAAGGCTCTCTCTTTCTCCCTCTCCCTCTGCCCCCCTACCAAATAAATAAATAAATCCTTAAAAAAACAGTTCATATAGACAAACAACAAAACATGTGATAAGCAGGAATTACAGGCACTAAAACTGGGAGTGTATGGAAAATGTGTAGGGACCTCTGTTGTTAACATTGGTGAATCCAAGCTCCTATCCTTTGGCAAAAAGCAATTCTTTTCATTCATTCAACAATCTGTACTAAACCAAACACAATACTAAATGTTAGCATTCAACAGCAAAGAAAACTCTCCTGGAGCTTATTCCATGAGCCCCTTTCCAGGGAAACTATATCCTACTCAGTACCATAGCTGGGCATCTGTGTGATGCTCTATCTCAAGGACAACGGTCAATGCTTTATACATTTGGTACATTTAGTCAACATGTGGTCTATTACACTTTAAGCACTTTAAACCAGACCAAAATATCAATAAACTTAAAAAATTACATAGATAAGACAACAAAGCTAAAAATAAAAAATAACACAAAACCCTTTAACTTTTTAATATTAAAAAGCATGTCCCCCAAATAAGGCCAATGTGTATTCTAAATTAATAACAATAAGATTATCATATGAAGGACTTATAGGATATGATTAAAACTTCAGGTTTTTTCTGACAAGGGAAACACACACCTATTAGACAGCACTATCAATAAACAGTGTAATCCTCAAGGGTCAGGGTGGGATGGGCAATTAAAGAGAGAGGCAAAGAGAATATTAAAATATCTGTGGACAAGTCTTCTAAGCAGATTATAATGAGCCTCTCTCCCCACTCTCATGCTGGTTGAAAATCACTGTTATAGTGGGAGAAAAACTCTAAACACTTTCATTACATTTTTAAGAAGAATTTTTAAAAATTTTACTGTGTTCCTTTTAATATTGACAAAGCAAACCTAAGAAAAACAGGGATCTATAATCAAAACAAAACAAAACAAAACAAAAGTTAAAGAATTAGAAGACAGGAGAACGGTAGATTTTATACATCTAAGAGTTGTCTTAGAAAGATGCTAAAACAACAAATCTCTAGCCAAAGTGATTTTCATTTCATACAATGAAAATTGATATGTATACAAAGAAAATATTATAAAAGGAAGGTTTAAATGCATTATTCTATTTTATTTAAAAATTTTTATTTTTTTATTTTTTAAAGATTTTACTTATTTATTTGACAGAGAGAGAGAGCACAAGCAGGGGGAGCAGCAGAGGGAGAAGCAGGCTCTCCACAGAGCAGGGAGCCCGACAGGGGGCTCAATCCCAGGACCCTGGGATCATGACCTGGGCCAAAGGCAGATGCTCAACTGACTGAGCCACCCAGGCATCCCTATTTAAAAAATTTTTAAACTGCATTATGATTTTCTAGAAAATTATTCCTAAATTTGCCTCATTATGTGGCAGAAAACCTGAGAGAGGAAGTTCTAGAGCCAGGGGAGGGGGTGTCCCTGCTCTGCCACTTCCAAGCTATGTGATCCTGGAAAAGAGACTAGTCTGTGCTCAGTACCTCAACTGTGAGGATGGTGTTGAGGGTCAGATGACATATATTTGTGTAGGACAAAGGACAGACTGGGGAAAATGTTTACAGTACAGGATATACGAAGAGCTCTTACAAATTAATAAGAACAAAATGAACAAAGAACATCAGAAAAAAAAAAAAGGCAAAGGACATAAACAACACAAATCCCAGGAAAAAAAGTGGCCAGTAAACACTGTCCTATCTACAGCTTCTGATCTGGGCTGGGTGGAGAAGTGGAGGGAAAATTACTCTCATTCACTGCTGATCAAAATAAAATTTGTATAGCATTCTCAGAGGCTAGTTTAGAAATATGCACCAAAAGCCTTAAAAGACAATCTTTTGATTTAACAAATAATCTTCTAGAGGTTATTGTAAAGAAACCATAAAAGATATTATGCAATGACAGCCAAAGTTCCAATAAGAAATAAATTTATGATGTTAGAAAAACTGCTAACACACCTAAATACATTCACGAAGATAGCTGTGACCCTAAAAGGTTAAATGCCACTAATAGACACCAAAATGGCATCCCTGTGCTACTTCTTAATGGTGAGATTATGGGGATTTTAACTTTCTTCTCTATGCTTTTCTATAAATTACTGACTTTTATGTAATAAATATGTACAATTTTCTAATTTTAAGAAATTTTAGTTGAAGTATAGTTGACTATGTATAATTTTTATTAATAAAGGAGAAAGTTTTTTACTATTGCTTCTTTAATTTAAAAAAAGGTCTAATTTAAAAAGATATCTTCCTCTCCCTGTAAACACACACACACACGCACACACACACACACACAGAAACACAGCTCAGTAGAATCTTGGATAGAGGATAGAACATCTAATTTTTAGAATTCTTCAAGTCATTCCAAAGATCTAAGCAATTACAAGCGATTAACAGAGTGATGTTCTTAAATTTAGAAATATTTGCTTAAAGCATGTGTGTGAACTAGAGAGAACAAATCCTGTATATTACTGACACATCATTCTGTCATTTTAATTCAGAATGATTCTAGAGATTTCTTTTTCCCTAGCTTTTATATTGGAAATCTTCTGAATAAAAGAAAATACACAAGATTTGGGGCTTACTGGTGTGCCAGGCTTATCTGTGCAGCAGTTGAAACTGTGGAGGTAACGACTGTGAGCCCTGTGTTTCAGGCACCTGCTATACTAACCGGTTCCGGCGGAAAACGAGGGAGTGGCAAAAGCATCACCTTGAGCTGGTTGAAAGCCTGGGATCAAACTCTCAGCGGAGCCTCCAAGCTTCTCAGGATGTTTCCCTGGAGGGACAAAACACCACTCAGTTCATCCCAGCAGAATCCCATGATGCACACACACAGGCAGGTGGTGGAGGGCACCTTCTGAACCGAATTCTAGACTTGACTCCTTTTACCGCCTTACGGCAACACCTCGGACATTCGCAGGTCCTTGTCTAATCATTGCAATAACTGAGACAACAGCTGAGAAAAGGAAGTTGTGAGAATCAAAGACAGCACATCGGTTTTGCAAGATGGAAGGAGTTCCGGAGACTGAGTGCACAACGATGTGTATGTAGTTAACACTACTGAACTCTATATTTGACAATGGTTAAGAAGTTCATGTTTATGTTATGTTTACTGAACACAATTTTTAAAAAGATTTTATTTACTTATTTGAGAGAGAGAGAGAGAATGAGCAGGGGGGTGGGGGAGGGAGAAGCACTCTCCCCCCTAAGCAGGGAGCCCAACACGGGGCTTGATCCCAGGACCCTGGGATTATGACCTGAGTGGGGTTAAGGCAGACACTTAACCCACTAAGCCACCCAGGCGCCTGTATATTTATCACAATTAAAATTTTTTTCAAATAAATAAATAAATAAGCAACAAAAGAGATGGCTGGAGCTAAAGCCCAAAACCTCAAGCACATTACTCAGGCATAATGTCTCCAGTCCTTACTTTGAGTCTATTTGTTTTGATATAATTCTACTGAGTTTGCCAATCTGTTTTCCATGTTGGAAACAGTTCAGGAGAGCACATGAGAAGGGGGTGTGGAGGAAACGGCAGGAGTGAGAAGTGACCAGGGACAGGCACAATGGCAGCAGTTTAATGTGACAGAAGAGAGACAGAAAATTATGAAAAATAGACACAAAAATTTTAAAACCTGGGAGTCTCTTAATCAAGTGCAAAAATACTAGCGTTTTCAATAGCCCACGAAGGTATTTCTGTTTATTCTAGAACAGTAACTGGCATACATAACAATGAAATAATTTGACAATAAGTTAGCTGTCTGTCAGAGTTAAGTCCTATACCCTATCTTTTGTTTAAAACAATAGGAAAGTAATATAAAAAAATTTTTTTAAGACTTAATTTATTTATTTGACAGATAGAGACATAGCAAGAGAGGGAACACAAGCAGAGGGAGAAGCAGGCTTCCTGACGAGCACGGAGCCCGATGTGCAGCTCGATCCCAGGACCCTGGGACCATGACATGAGCCGAAGGCAGATGCTTAATGACTGAGCCACCCAGGCACCCTAAGTAATACAAATTTTTAAAAGATATCTATAAAATAATAAAGTTAAAAGAGATTAACAAAAGTTAGAAGAGTAAAGTTAAAAGATATGGCCAAAGTTCGTATCATTCACTCATTTCTGATCATTCCTTTACCCTGTGCTCTTGTCTAATGCCGAGGTACTCTTTTTGAAGAATTTTTCCAGGGCATGTTGTTGTTTTCCAAAGTGTGCATGTGTGTCTGTGTGTATGAGTCCCACCTTTCAAAATAAGACTGTGGGTTTGTTTTGTTTTGTTTTGTTTTGTTTTGTTTTGTTTTAGGTAGGCTCCACACCCAGTGTGGAGTCCAACGCGGGGCTTGAATTCATGATCCTGAGATCAACACCTGAGTTGAGATCAAGAGTTGGACGTTTAACCGACCGAGCCACTAAGGTGCTCTTAGACTGTGGGTTTGTTTTTTGTTTTTTGTTTTTATTTGACAGAGAGATTCACAGCGAGAGAGGGAACAGAAGCAGGGGGAGTGGGAGAGGGAGAAGTAGGCTTCCCGCTGAGCAGGGAGCCCAATGCAGGGCTCGATCCCAGGACCCCAGGATCATGACCTGAGCTGAAGGCAGACGCTTAACGACTGAGCCACCCAGGTGCCCCAAGACTGTGGGTTTTTGAGAGTAGAAATGGTACCTTCTATTTATTTGATCACTTCTCTACAGTCAGTCACAGTACTACAGAACTCTGACCATAATCAAAGATTCAAAGTTCATGTGAGGGCACACTCTCTCCTAGGTAAGCAGTTATAACTTTCTGGCATAGGACAAGAAAACCATTACACTCCTCCAAGGAATGACCATGCTTGACAGTATCATCCTGACTATGCTACCAAATCTTTGCTAATACTGTCCCACTCCTTACCGCCACCCACAACTGGCCAGGAGTTCCTGTGGATGAAAAGACCGTCAGTGCTCTAGTAAACATTCAAAGCAATTTGCACTCAAACTTCAAATCAAGCCTCTGAGGGAAGGAAAGACCCAACCCTACATTTTCACATGCATACCCCTCTAGAGTTAGGGTTTAAGAATCACAGAAGGACACCAACTGCTCACCTTCCCCCAGCTTGGCAAAGTCCTTGTTCAGCAGTTCCTCAGCTGTGAGTTTGGAGAAATTGTCATCATCGAAGGGATTCCACGTAGAACCTTCTGAAGCATTATAAACGTTTTGCTGGGAGGTCCGAGGAGAGCCTGATGGAGTGGTGGTTGCAGACCTAGGTAGGTTCCCACCCCCACGAAATGAAAAAAGTTGAAAAAGGGTCAATCTACTTTCTCTTTGTTTTGAGATCAAATTGTTTTCTGAGTCAAACCATTATTTTCTGCAGTGGTTTTCTAAAAGGGCTTTCCAAGGCAACTGGACAGTTTTCACAGATACTTTTATCACTGTGTGAAATAAATGTCTCCCTTTCCTTCATGATCCACTATCTCCCACTACTTCTTTAATCTTTTGCTTAGATTTTTGGTCTCATCAGCAAGTCCTTTCAATCCAGAATCCCAAAGCAGCCTCTTCTTAGGCTTGTGACTCCTGTGACGCCAACCCACCCTAACCTCTAATAACTGACCCCGGTGCAGCTGGGACTGATGCCTTTTCAGGCTGCCTCCCAGCGGTCAGGATCTAGCATGCATAGAATGAAGGGCCGCCATGAGTGGTCACCACCACAGGTAAGGAGAAATAAACACAGTTATCACTACCTTGTGTTTCTAGGTATTACTACCTAATTTTCTTCTGAAGTCTCTCTTGATGCCCTTTGCATTTAACTAACAACTTAAAGATTTTTAACTTTAGAGTCCACGGTTCCAAAAAAGCTGAGGCTCCAAAATTGCATTTACCTAGCACTCACTGCAATCTACTTTATTTCAGGCACAGAGCCGGTCACTGGATTTACAATGGTTAAGACATGGTCCTTGTCTTGCAGGAATTTGCAGGCTAGGTCAGCTGGATATACAAATAAATAATAATATAAAGTGATACATCTCCAAAAAGGTTCAGACAAATTTATATATGAGCCAAAGAAAAAGTAACCGCTGACATGGATCTTGATGACTAAATAAGCATTTCTTAGGTAGACAAGGAGGAGAGTGGTAGTTCAGGGAGAGGGCATAGGATGAACAACGTGCTCATAAAGACAGAGAATGACAAATCCACAAATGTGATACAATGGCCTTTGGTCTGTTAACCAATGAGTTCAGATATTATCCCTTTGGCAACGGGGAGCCAATGAAAGATTTTCATCATGGAGAGGGTTGGTCAGACTAAGATTTTAAAAAATACTCCGCAGAACACAGAATGGATGAGAGAATGGAAACAATAAAGCAAGTATGAAATTATTCCTTAAGATCAGTATGGTCTAGGTACCACAGGCAACTTCAGTTTCTTAATAAACACAGACACATACGTACCTTCATATACATGTACCCATACATATCTACATACAGATGCAGAGAATTACACAGTAGTGGCCCACAGCAGCCCTGGCCCACAAAAGTGAAAAAGAGAAAGGGGAAGCACCACATACTTGGACTTATTGAGGCTGGCCTCAGCTGCAGCTGCCTGGAGCAGCTGGGTTGATTTGCTGGCAGGGACCCCAAAGACTGCGCTGTGGGTTACGTCACTGAGAATCCGTCTGTGCCCAGCACGTTGGGTCTTGGGGGATGATGGAGGAGTGAGAGATCCGAGTTTCTGCCCCTGGACGGCAGGAGGTGGGGTTGTTTGAACCTTTGGCTGTTGTCTTACTGGGGCTTGAATCTGCTAGGGAAAAAAAAAAAATGGCAAGTGTTCCCAAAAGAAGGGAAAGGAAAAACAAATAAACAGATAAGCATAATAAAAAATGCCATGTGAGAGCTAACATGGGGCTCAAGTGGCTGATTTTACCAATAACACCCAGAAAGAAAAAACAGTTTTTGACAATCTGAGCTATAACTTTGGGACTGATGGCATGGTATTTATCTGCTGTTTATACATAAATTTCAATCTTCATCAGTAATAATATACAGAGCAACCATACACAATACAGCCCAGTGCATAAGATTGCAGAAGCTATTTCTAACTCCAAAAATCAAGAATGTATCCTACAGGACCACTTTCTGCTTCTGGGGTCACACTCATTCAGAATGCCTCCAAAGAGGAGCTTTAAGCAATCTACTACCACAGAAGGCACACCTCCAGCTAAAATACATTTGAGCTGAACAATTTCTGCTAAGAGATCCCTGACTCTGACATATCTCAGACTACTGGTTGGGAATAAGTTAGGATTCCATTGTAATTCATAAATGGTAGTGCTTTTTGTTTTGTTTTGTTATTAAGGCTCTTTATTTCACTGATAAGATGGGTCCACAAGATTCTATTTCTGTGCCTCCCCTGAGAAAATGTATAGCATTGGGGCAGTGGGATTAACTTGTTCCCACCTTCAGTTTGGAAATGGCACTGAAGAACCAGGTAGAGAATGTAAGAAGAAATAAAAAATTTGAAAAGCCCTTGATGATAATTGATCTAATAACACAAGGACTCTTGAGATTTGGGCCATTTTCAGAAGGCAGAACAAACTGTCACCACAGAAAAACAAATAGGTAGGAACATCCTTGTGGCCACGTGGTTAGACGTCAAGCATCAGACACAATCTACAAAGTGCTACGTCAGGAAGATGAACAAAAAATAGCATTAAGAAGACCACCTAATGCTTTAATTCTGTCAGTTCAGAAACAAAATGATTCAGAATATTAAAGGCCTATCCCTTCCCTCCAGTCCCTCGTTTCAGACTAAGACGTCCCTCCGTGCTGCAGCTCAGCTCTCACATTTGGTGCCTTTGAAGGTAGGTCCTGGGAGAGAAAGGAAACCAGAGGGGCCAGCTACTTGCGTCAGGATGCTGACAGCCTGAGATTTTCTGTCCCTGTATTGACGCACACTGGATTCTACTGAGGCAGGTTATGTGCACGTATGAGAACACAACCACTCACCAACTGAACGAATGATACAGTACAAGGCTCCAACATCACTCAGGTTAAGGTCAGAGGGTAAAGACGCTGAGGCATCTCTGAGGGAGAAGCAGAGTGCCCTGGGAAGACCAGCGCTCCGGCCCCACAACTTCCTTCAGGGGCCCAGGGCTGCACCTGCAACAGCCAACCTAGAGCTAGTACCCACAGAGACCACCATGGCTTTAGGGGCAGAACTAGATTAGCTTATTTCTTGGAGTTTAAGACATTCATTGCTTTGAGAAGGGTATGCTTCACTGGTGAGTTCCTTTATTTTGAAGAGTCCAGACTACTTGGAAAACATTTTCTCTTCCTCTCACCTATCCCCAATGCAGCATACTGAGGAACAGACACTTCATGAGGACCCCCTACCCTATCACAGCAATCTACTAATACAAAACCACTCCAATCCATTCAGCTATTCCTCACAATGACCATGTCAGGCAGGCAGTTTTATTTCCATTTCAAATCTAAGAATATGAGAGTCAAAAGGGACCTTAGAGAGCGCAGATCCCAACTCCCTCGCTTCAGAGGAGCTGAGACCAAGGCCCCCTGAGGCTAAGTGCTCACTCAAGGTCAGAGTCAATTGGGACAGAATCCATGTCTCCTGATTACTGCTCAGGACTCTCTTTTCTTCACTATCATGTCTCCTCCAAAGATGGGATTAGGAAGGGAAAGTGGGGGACAGACAAACCACAGTGGGAGGAGAATCAAAGTAGACTCAGATGTCTGTCTTGCTAGAGACTGTTTTAAAGAACAATATATACATAATTATGAAAGGAGTATAGTCGGACCAGGAATGTAAGAATATACACAAAAGGGGGAAAAAAACACCCAGACTTCCATCTCACTATCCTAATACAACTGTTTTTATCTTTTTGGTATCTTATATTTAAATCCCTTTTCAAGTACATACTTTTCCCATAATTTCAACATTATCTCATGAGTGTTTCACATTGTTGTACAAACTCTATAACCATGACTTTTAATGGCTGCACAGTTGGGTTTTTGAACAATTAGGTTACTTTGATTCTTTTGGCTGTTACTAATAAAATTATAATAAACATCTATGGCATACTGCCATTTTCCTCTTGTAAATTACTGCTTTAAGATGGCAATTCCTTACATTCACTCACTTGCTTCTCTAGGTAAGTCCTGACAAGGGTCACCAGAGGAAGGGATGGGTCAAATTTGGGAAGCTCTCTGGCTCCTGGCTGAAGCAAGTTCTGCTCCTGTTCCTTCTCCATCCCCTCAACCAACTATCCTGGAGCAAAATGCCCAAAGTATGTTTTCAGCCAAGGAACATGGAGAAGGTTTATAATTCATTCCCAAGAGAGGGACAGCAAAGGGGAACCTCATAAGAAATGTGGTCAATGACTGTTGATCATTTCATCTCCCTGGATGAACATTTGTTATTATTATCCTTAAACACAGATCAGGATTCTTTGGTTATTTCCCCAGCTCTGCTGCTATCAGTCTGTGTGTCTTGGGTAATCCCTTTCTAGCCTGGGGCCTAGTTTCCAACAAGGGGACTAAACTAGATAATTATGATCTCAACTACCTACATCGTATAATAATTTTTTAGAGTTTTTTTTTTTTTTAAGATTTTATTCATTTGAGAGAGAGAGCGAGCAGGGGGGGAGGCAGAGGGAGAAGGAGACTCCCCACCGAGCAGGGAACAGGGAGCCCGACACAGGACTCGATCCCAGGACCCTGGGACCAGGACCCGAGCCGAAGGCAGACGCCTAACGACTGAGCCACCCAGTCGCCCCCATATCATAATTTTTTTTTTAAACTCCATTAATAAGAGGAACTTTCTTTTCTTTTTTTTTTTTTTTAAAGATTTTATTTATTTATTTATTTGACAGAGAGAGAGCGAGAGCAGGAACAAGAGGAACTTTCGTTTGTGTTAAAAATACAGAGAGTAGCTGTCTACCACATGCCTGCAGGAAGACTGAGTTGTTTCAGAAACGAAGGTGTAAAGACACTGAACACACACTTAGCTGAGGCTCAAAGAAGACAATCTATTTACGGCACTGCTTCCTTTTGAAGGGATGGTTTTCTGATTTAAGATGGGCGACAAAACTCTATTAGAAATCAATCCTCAGAAAGACGGTTTCTTACTTTTCCTTCATTTGTTTAGTAGTTGGACTTCCCTGGGAATAAGAGAGTAGTTGTGATACTCTATTGGCCGAATATGTACAAAGCCTTTTCTATCACTATGATATTTTCTTCACTATCACTCAGAAATATGTGAGTACAGAATTAAGAGCACTTAGTAGAGGCCAGACACAACGTGCCTGGGGATGGTGAAGCTGTAAAGATCAATCAGGAGAGGAGTAAGGCGTTCTGACGCTGTAGTCAGCCAGTATCTAGAAGTGGAAACATGCCCAATTTCTGAACTGACAAGACGGCTCAAACAGCACTCAGATGCTCTGGTGCCCGGAGGATCGGGTTACGGTAAATGGTCCCAGCGCGGAGGCCCCTGAAGGCCGCTACATGGTAGACTTAAATGAGGTAATGTTGTCCAAGACCAAGGATAAATAAAAACCCTGTCAGGACTCAGGGTAAAGGTGGGAGCCCACGCAAGCCTCCAGAGACTGGAAAGGCCACAATGGTCAACCTGGCCCTTGAAGGCAAAGGGATGCGCTCTAATCCCACCGAGGTCCTTGACTGCTCAACACCGGCACCGACAGAGACCGTGAACAGCTCTTTCTGCCAGTCTCATTTTAAGAGTGATAAGAATAAGAATGCTCATCTTCACCACTAGCCTAGAATCATTTTTGTTAAACCTCTACCTTCTAGAGAATACCTCATCCTGACCTCGGGCATAATTAGAAAAAAAATCAAGTACTTTAACCACGGGCCGGGGAAGCAGCCGAACGCAGGGCCCCGCCCGGGCTGCTGCCGCCCCTCTCCCGCGCTCTGGCCACCCCCCCCTGCGCGCCCCCCGCCCCGCGCCCTCCCGCGCCCCTCGCTCCACGCCCTCACCGCCGGCTCCTGGGCCGCGGGCGCCGGCGGGGCTGCAGCGGGCGGCGCCTGGGGCTGCTGTCCGGCCGCCGCGGCGGTCTTCTGCTGCAAGGCGGCCTGCTGAGTCAGCAGCTGTTGTTGGTGCACGCTCGCGGCCAGCTGCGGCGGCTGCTGCTGGTAGAAGTTCTGTGTCAGCGGCGGCTGCGAGCTGCCTTGCGACACCACCGGGAACTGGGCGAGGGCCGGCTGCTGGGCGGCTGGGTGTGCTGCCTGAAACTGAGCATGAGAAGCGCAAAAAGGAGGAGGGGAAGAAAGGCGGTCTCGGGACAGATGTCCACAAAAGACCAAGGTCTCAGGAATAACCAAGCCCAGTCTGAAGCCAAAGGCAAGGGCGGGCAGAAGTCCCGTGGCCTGGCCTCACAACTCCCGAGGGGACCCTCAGGGCATGGACGTGAACCTGACAGCACCTGACAGGGCCAGGCTGCCTCCTGGCCCCCGGCCCCGCTTCGGGTGGGTTTCTATGGCAAGCCTGCGGGCTTCCGTTCCACTGGGCACCTTGTGGTTCCCCATGCTGGAGTGTAGCAGAAGCTAATAAATGATCTCCCAATCACAGAAGTAATCCCTCTTGTAAAGGGATTTGGCAGCAGCCAAGATTAAAATGCTTTGCTCCATGAACAGGATGAAGCAGTGACACTGAAAATCACCTAAGTGCTAAGCCAGCTATAAAGAGTCCGTTCAGGCCCTTCTGAAAATTATTTCTCTGTAGCTCCATCTTATTAACAGTCCCACCTTTAAACATTCAAAATGTTCTGTATACCACACTTACTGATATTTTATCTTGTATTGGTAACCGATTCTTTCAAGTTCTCAATATTCTCTTATAAACTGCCTACGGATAGGGATACTTTTTATCCGTCTGTCTACACCCCCCCCCCCCCGCCCGCCAAAGACCATGTGACACACACACACACACACACACAGGTCAAACAAGGGCCTACTGATGAACAAAAGTCAAGCTCTTGTCTTTGAATATCCCAAACACTGTTACTTAGTTGTAGAGTGAACTGAGAGGACACTGTCGGCCTCCTGGGGCAAAGTTAAAGGGTTAGCAAAGAAGCAGATGTCAATAAATAGCTGCCTATTTAGAACTGCAAAATGCTGGAAATGACCAAATGTTTATCAACAGGGACACTAATTGAATAAGCCATGCTATGTATCCTTAAAAGAGAATACTCTCAAGTTGTAAACAGGAATGAGGGCTCCCTCTATTATTACAGGATGGAGGAGGCAGAATTCTGCAGATTTAACTTTGAAACTCTGTAAATGTTTTATATTTTCATACAACAAAATTAACCCAAAATTTGGCAATAACTATAAATCAAAAGCAAAATGAAACAAATAAACCTGTGTATCAAATTGATAGCCAAACTCTCCAGAAAATAATGAGCAAAACATTCTAAGAATGAAAAAGGCAAAGAAATCTTAACCTGTTTCCAGTACTCGTGTTGGCACTATTGTCTTGAAATTATAAAGCAATTAAGTGATTATGTTAATGTTGTTAGGAATCAGGATTTTCAGATTAGAAAAATACAAATATAAAATCCAAGGAGTTAAGCAAAAATCCTATAATTACAATTCTGAATTATGAATATAAATTTAGATTCGTGGTGTATATTAACAAAAGAAACAAAAAATCTTTCGCAAGTTTCCACTGAAAAGGCTTAAAAACAAATAACTGATTCATTAGCAAATGAGTATCTTTAGCACCAAACTGTGGTCTCTAAATACCATTTTTAAAAGGAAATGGAGCTCCTTCAGAGAAATGGCTGTTTCCAGGTCAAGGGCAGAGTAAGCCCAGAGCGGCCTGTTACAATAAATAGCAAGGAGGGACACCTGGGTAGCTCAGTCGGTTAAGCAGCTGCCTTCAGCCCGGGTCATGATCCCAGGGTCCTGGGAACGAGTCCCACATCGGACTCCTTGCTCAGCAGGGAGCCTGCTTCTCCCTCTCTCTCCCTCTGCTTGTGCTCTCTCTGTCAAATAAATAAAATCTTTAAAAATAAATAAATAAATAAATAGCAAGGAAACCATAAAGATGGCTGGGTCACCACCAAAAGACCCAGGAGCCAGTCTGAAGAGAATTCCACTGGCCAAAGCTGAGGCAATTTAAGCATCAAAAAAAAAATTTTTTAAAGGCAATGTCTGGAAACATTACAAATACGTTTAAATCCCTGAATTCACGATGATACTAAAACAAAACAAATCAAAAACCTCTGTTCACCTTTAGATGACACTAAGAACAAACCCATTCTGAAAACTGGTAAACACAGGTGAAGAATCAAGCGCTTTTTCTGCCTTTTCTATATAAACAGTACCTCAGGGTCATCAAATAGTTGAGAAAAATTCTTCACAGAAAAATTCCAGCCCCTAAGTGAATTAGGGATGTTGACATCCCTAATGAGTGAAGGGACTTAGGAAATGATCAGCAGTTGCTGCTAAACTGATCAGGGACACTGAATGAATGGATCAGACAGACAACACCAAACTCACGGACTGATCTTCATATTGATAAAAGATAGGACAACCAGACTTTATACGCCTCCTGAAGTGATACAACCAGAAGAACAAAGAACTATTCCAACTGAATCGAATTTTGACCAAGCCTCAAAAAACTACCAGTTTACACAGGGGATGGAAGAACATATTAAATGACCGCAGGGATGCAAATCCAGAAGGTGGAAAATTCTACAGGACAAATGACCCAGTTTCTTCAAAAAATTAAATGCCAAAGGGGAAAGAAAGAGGGAGAGGGCACTATGAATAAAAGGGGACTTAAAAGATACGTCAATCATTATAAAATGAGTATGTTCAGAGTAAAAAATGTAGAAAAAATATGAATAGATAATGGAGGAAGAAAGATTCACAGCTAAATATAACATGTGGGCCTTGTTTGGAACCTGATTCGAACAAGCCACCTGAAATTATGAGACATCAGGAAGAGTTAAACATTACTGGATTTTTTTTTTAAGATTTTTTATTTTTTATTTGACAGAGAGAGAGCGAGCACAAGCAGGGGGAGTGGCAGGCAGAGGGAGAGGGAGAAGCAGACTCCCCGCTGAGCAGGGAGCCCGATGGGGGGGATCCCAGGACCCCAGGATCATGACCTGAGCTGAAGGCAGACCTTAACTGTGTGAGCCACCCAGGCGCCCCTGGATATTTTATAATAAGAAGAAATTATTATTTTTAGTATGGTAATGGTGCAATTGTGTTAGGAAAAAAAAGAGAGAGAGAGAAGAGAAAAAGCGTCCCTAAAAATAGCTCCCTTGCTGAGGTTCCTCCATCAGGTGAAGAATTCCCCATGGCCCAGGAAAGGGGTGTGAGTGGCCCAGTGATGCATCCACTGCGCAGTGCTTCCCAGTATGCAGCGCTGGGAGAAGCAATGAGGCGATGTGGAGTGGCTCCCTGTCTCCCAAGGGCTCCCCGAGGAAGATGCCTGTACCTACTGGGCCTTTCCGCAGCGCCGCCTCAGATACGGCAAGCAAGGGTCAGACTGAACACTTTACCTGCTGGGCCTGGGCCTGCTGCTGCTGCTGCTGCTGGTAAAACGTGCCCGCGGGCTGCTGGGCAGGTGGCGGCTGCTGCTGGGGCGGTTGCTGCGGCGGCGGCGGCGGCGGCGGCTGCTGGAGGAAGAGTTGCGGCTGGTGCTGGGGCGTGGCCTGGGCCGCAGTGGGCAGAGCCTGGACGGCGGTGGGCGGCGTCTGCTGTGGGGTGGGTGGAGCCTGGGGCTGCTTGGGCTGAGACTGGGGTAGAGGCTGGCTGGGTTGGGGCTGGGTTTTTGGCTGGGGAACACTGGCTAAAAGACCAGGCTGATTGCTGGATCCTGTAATGAGAATAAATTCCATATAAGGGCTCAAAACTCTTCCAGATGAAAATGGCTTGCTTTCTCTTGCCAAGGAACTAAAGAGGGGGTGATAAAAGGACAGATAATCCCAAGAGCCATGTGCTTCTGTCTTTGCATCTTCTTGCTAAACTATGTGCTTCATGTTTTTCAAAACAAGGTTCAGGAACAAGGTTCAGTGCTTGCCTCCTTCAGAAAGCCCCCCTTTATTCAGCATCCCATTTAGTCAATTATTCCTTTAGTCAGCACCCGAGTACCTACATATTCAACTGGTCTTTGATGCTACTGCATTCAAATACAATCTGCACTAATGCTTTAGGACAAAAGCATTCTTTGATGTTTTACATATAAGTTACACGACCCCAATCTAGATGCCTGGCTATAAGTAGATGACCACCAAATTCACCAAAAGCAGCTTCCTGGTAGGGGAAGTGATGACTAAATTCAGTTACTTGATCATTTGGGTCCTCTAAACTAAGTCATCTCATTAGAACCGGAATACCAAAACATGGAGTGGTAACGGATAGTTTCAGAAGACAGAGCATTAAAGAAACAATGCCCCTATGTCAAAAAGAAGAGAATCTTGTTTCTTTAAAGGCCAGAGAAGAATATGAAATAAAAAGGAAGGCATGGGATGAATGGACCAAGCCACAAAATCAGGGCCAAGACTAGAAAAAATAGAGACATCAGGCATCAGTGGTCTTGGAGGCCCCCCGCAGAACCCACTGAGAAGGCTTCCCTTTTGCCAGCCACATGCCATATAATTTCAACGGGTGCTCACCTCCTGGTCCTCAGGGCAAACCATTTATTCCTTATGTGTCTCGGGATTCCATTCCTGAAGCAAAAGTAGGCTTCCCGAGACTTCTGTTAATGTCCGGGATAACAAAGAGGGTGTACCAAATTTCAAACCATCTGAGTTACTGACCTGCAGCCTGGGGTGGGGGCTGAACCGTGGCTCTCTTCCGAGGTGTCAGGGCTGGCTGGATAGGAAGGATTCCTGGGTTTGGCTGAGTCTGCCCAGCCTTAGGCCTCTGACGGGGTGCAATTGAAGTCTCTGTTGTGGGAATGGGATCTGTCAGTCTAGAAAAGGAAGAGGGGGAAACACAGATTCACATTAACGTGTGGGAGAGTGGGAAAGGGGTAGACAGAGTACTTGATGGATTGGCTTTCCCCTCCACACTCATCCAAACCTTCCAGATCTGCTTAATCGACATTTGTCAAAGGGTATTCCACAGGATGTTATGTGTTACTAGATGTTATGAAAAAAGGGTTGGTGGGAAAGAAGTTTTAACATACTAATCAAAATATATCGAGCAGATTTCTTTCCAGCGGAACTTTTCACGTGTGAATGTGCATGGAAAACTTTGAAGAGAGCCCAATACAAAAGGCAATGTTTCTCTAGCTTACCTGACCCTGGGACCATTCCACCTAACACTTCCTAGGATTTCCCAGAATATGCTTTGGGTGATGATGGAAACGAATTTGAAACAGGTGTTTTTCAGATGTAGAGGGAACTCAAACTTGGTCAGAACTAGTTGTCAAGGGGCGCCTGAGTGGCTCAGTCATTAAGTGTCTGCCTTCGCCTCAGTTTATGATCCCAAGGTCCTGGGATCGAGCCCCGTGTCGGGCTCCCTGCTCCATGGGAAGCCTTCTTCTCCCTCTCCCACTCCCCCTGCTTGTGTTCCCTCTCTCGCTGTGTCTCTCTCTGTGTCTCTGTCAAACAAATAAATAAAATCTTAAAAAAAAAAAAAAGAACTAGTTGTCAAAATGGTCTCTCTATAATTAAAAAAAAGCATATAAGTGAGTGACTCCAATAAGGCAACTAGAAGAAATAAGTAAATAATTCAAGATAAAGGATTTGGGGAATATGTTATATGTAAAATATATTCCAATTAAAAAATTTAGCTGGATTTCACCCAGAGTAAAAATCACATTGCTCAGCCTCTCTTATAATCAGGTGTGGCTATGTGTCTAAGTTCTGGCCTTACATGGGAAAGCAGACTGTTATACGGCAGTTTCCAGAAGCCTTAAGAAATAGCTAGGGTATGCCATTTGTCTCTCTTCTTTGGCTATTCCTTCATCTGTTACTTGGAACAGGAATGCTACCATTTTGGTCTGTGAGGTCATGGCTACAATCGTAGGGAAGGTAGAGTGAGAAGCTTGAAGAAGCCTGGGTGTGGGGCAGAACTGCCAAACCAATCGCTGACTACTTACCTCCAGACTTTGTTTACTTGAAAGAAAAACGTCTATCTTATATGAGCCACTGTCATTTTGGACATCACAGCCAAATCTAATCCAAATTAATATAGGAAGGACTGCTGGGTGGTCTATTTGTTCCTTGTGATAGTGTAAAAATCCAGGTGATAACTTCCATTCATCTGGAGCAGTCCAGGCAGCTGGCTGCCATCTAACTCAGAACAGAGTAGTGGTCTTTTGAAAATGCACATTAGGGAGTAAAACTGAAGTTATGGCCAAAATAAACAAGCTTCATGACTATTTCCAAAATATGTCTGGCATGGCCTCCATGAAATGCAAAATAGGAAGCAAAGCAGGCCCCATGTGCCTTCCCCATGACATATCTCCAAGGGATGTCCACTGTGGACCCTGAGGCTTTTCTCTGCAATCCTGCTAGAGGAATGCTTTTGTGTGGGGTAGAGAACTTATAACATAAAAGCTATCATATTTGGAGAGGCTATAACCTGGGGAAGGAAGGTGGGAAGGAAAACAGGACAAATGTTGGAGAAGAAGAGAAAGGTTTAAGAAATATATAGCCAATGGTGAGAAAGTCGAACAGACGTCTATAGAAACCAAATGCTAAGAACCTCCACACTGGATGGATTTCTTTCTCTCTTTCTCTCTCTCTCTTTTTTTTAAAGATTATTTATTTGAGAGAGAGACACAGAGAGCAGGAGGAGGGGCAGAGAGAGAGAATCTCAAGCAGACTCTGCACTGAGGACGGAGCCCAACACAGGGCTCGATCCCTGACCCTCAGATCATGACCTGAGCCAAAATCAAGAGTTGGATGCTCCACCAACTGAGCCACCCAGGAGCCCTTGGATGGATCTCTTTTAAGGGTAACATCTTAGAGATAAAGGGATTTGGAGTCAAAGAAAACTATATTTGAGCCTGGTTCCTCACTAACTGTGTGATAATAGGTATGTCATTTTACCTCTTCTTGCTTTGGGTCATTTCTGTATGAAATGGAGAAAATAATGCATCATGAAGCAGATGTGAACATCAAATGCATCAATGACTGTGAAACCATTTTCATAAACTGTAGAGTGCTCAAAATGTTAGTTTGTATGGCCCTCAATATGCTGTGAAAAAATACAGACCTTGAAGCCAGGAAGTCTGGCTCTAAGTTGTCGCATCTATGTGCTTGTGGGCAAATCACTTAATGCACAGAATAGAGTATGGATGCTGGAATTCAGGGTTTTTTACTAACCACATATTGATTGATTACCTTGGGCCACTTACAACTCTGAGTCTGTTTCCTCATCTGTAAAATGAGAACAACAACAATGGCTCATAGATTTATTTCAAGAAAAACAAAGTCATCTTATTTACAGAAAGAACCTCGTATGGTATCTGGTATACATGATGCCTCAACGAAGAGTGGTTACTTTAAAAACAGAGTTAGAAAGAGAAACTTACCTCTCGGGATTGGGGAGCAAATATGGTAACGCAAATGAAATCACTGTAAATTATAAACAGGACACCTTAGGCCCAAATCTCTTGGCTGTAAGGTCTGTGTATTCTTGCAGCATTATGGATCCATACAAACCAACAGCGTGGGCACTCTACAGTTTATAGAACAGTTTCACAGTCACCGATGTTCACAACTGCCTTATGATACAGGTATGATTTTCTTCATTTGACACAACACAGCACCACTTGGAATGGTACCTGTTATTGTCATTGTTATAAATGCGGGGGCTTTGTGGGAATGGATCCTTGCTTAGCCTCAGTACCTACTATATTTGGGTCTAGAGCAATATGGGCATAAACCCAAATACTCAGCTAATGAACTCAGCCCCAAAAGCAATTTCCAGAGGTGAGCATGGCAGACTTAGGTAAGAAACGGACTACAAAGTAACACCATGTATATAGTTTGCTAAGTCTGTGAAAAACAAAAGTCTCCTTTAACTTTTAGAGCCGCATCAGCATTTACATTTATTCCAGAAACATTTAAGAATGTTTAAAAATGGGGCGCCTGGGTGGCTCAGTTGGTTAAGCGACTGCCTTCGGCTCAGGTCATGATCCTGGAGTCCCGGGATCGAGTCCCGCATCGGGCTCCCTGCTCGGCAGGGAGTCTGCTTCTCCCTCTGACCCTCCTCCCTCTCATGCTCTCTGTCTCTCATTCTCTCTGTCTCAAATAAATAAATAAAATCTTAAAAAAAAAAAAAAAAAAAAGAATGTTTAGAAATGTAGAAATTATTTTACCACTCTATTAAAATTCACATAACCCCATCTAGGGTACTTTGTTGATAGCTGGCGGCTAACGTTTCCTCGCCATGGGAACATGGGAGAAAAAGGAGGTATAAACATCTCTTCGACTACCCTCAGAATCTGCCACTTGGAAGCACGGCAGCCATGAGGCTGTGCCCCACAGACCTGCGACTGGCGAGGGGTGCAAACACCACGTGCCCCAGGGGCTGTGCTCCTGAAATCCACTGCCATGCTCCTTCTGAGGCCATGCTTCCCACAGGCTGCTCTCAGCCTTTTACCCCCGCCACAGGGCGATTAAAGTCGGCCTGTTCCCGGGACACGGGAGCTGCTCTGGTAGCTGACTTTGGCTTGAGGATTCCCTGACACCTTTGGTGAACCTTCTTCCTTCAACTGTGTGGCAGTTTCTAGTCACTTCCACTCACTCTTCCTTCCTCACTCTGGGTTAGACTTACATCACCTTCTGATGGTTCTTCCAGCCTTCCCTGGCTATCTCCCTATTTTCTCTCACAGTCAAATAAAATCCTAGTTTCTTCAATCCTCTCTTGGCATCTGCTTCGGGGAAGACCCCATGTTCCATGGAATGTGATTAGCTAAGATCCACAAGCTCTTTTGCTGTTCATGGAGTCTGCGCCTTGACTGGCACTCTCCTGAGGTGGTCAGGGTCACAGACAGTGAGAAGGAATGGGAGGTGAAGGACTAGGGTGGTGAACCAGGCTACAGGAAGACCAGGACACCTGTTTAGGACATTCTTTTTAGCAATATTTAAAGTTGTCTGTTGCCTCTTCTCTGAATGCCCCTGCGCTTCTCCCCAAGCAAAAGAAACAGCTGTGGAGCTCTTCATTCTCTTTCAGATGTAGATTGCTGTGTTTCATTATATTCCTCCCTGCACTCCCTGGAAGAGACAGAGCTTGCTCTCCCGCTCTGTGCAGCCTCTGGCCACGGGAACCTAACAACCACCAGGGACCTTCTACCACTACGGCCACTGGCGTGGGACCTGCGCACACTCGGGCAGTTCTTACCTGGCCTTTGGCTGGGTCTTTTTTGCAGCTGCCTCACTGGCTTTCACTGGCTCAGGAAGCTTTGCAGGAATGGGAGAGTTCTATAGAATTGAAAGGAAACCAAAAAAGGACATTGCAGATTGCTTTGTAAAAGTAATACCAGCATGACTGGGCTGATAGAAATACGTGTTGGGATCTCCCGGTGTGGCTTCCAGGCCCTGATGTCTACTAGAGGGAAGGGAAGTCAACCAAAGGTAGATCCCACCAGTCTCGGCCCCCCTCAGGAAGGTAGCATATCAGAGAAGAGGACAGAGCAGGCTGCATCCCATGCGCTCCTCCCCCGAGGCTCCCAACCTTCTGGACCCTTCACTTCCTACCACACAGCTTAGAGGTGGTGTTAAGAATGGAATGGGAGAGATGTCTGTAACCTGTATTACTATTTAAACTATCAGCTAAACCTTACAGAAGTCAGCACTGACTAGCAGCATGCCCAGCCGGGATTCATTCTGTCTTCTATCTTGAACACTGGGAAAAAACCATAGCCACGAACCATTTGGTTGCGGCGCCGGGGCCTCTCCAGTGTATGAGGCACCCCTAGACCCATGAGGCCAGTAGAACTCCTCCCACCTGGATTCTGCACGGGCCACCTGACACCAGCTCCGGCTCCGGAGGGAGCACTCCCGTCCCCAACCACAAGACAACTGCTTAGCATTGCTGAGTGAGTACCAAACGGCTTGAGACTTGTGAGCCTGACTTTGTAAAAACTAGTTACCAATCTGAATGCTTCCAATTATATTTCAGGTTACTTAACTTTATGAATGGGAAAGTGGGGCAGCAAAAGAAAAACATGGTCATGCTAGGTTCCTGTACAAGATTCCTCATTTTAATCTGGAAAGCTGACAAATGGAATACTAGTAATAGTTTTACTAGTAACAGTAAATATTTAGGCTTTTAGGATGGACCTCCCATTTCCTTCATGTTTCCAGGTGGGGAGAATTTTTGCTAGGATATCTCTCCTTGCTTCTCTTCCTCTCTCCAAGCATTCCTCTCCCAAGGGAGAAGCGTAACTTACTTGACTGACAGGACTGGGAGAAAAAAGTGAGCTCGCCTGGCTGACCTCTCCTTTAAGGGAAAGCCTGTCTCTACAGAATCAGGTGCTCCCTGCTCAGTCATGTGGATCTAATGTTAGGGAGCCTGACTGGTCAAGCTACATTCTCTGATTCAACCTTATTAGTAATACAGCCAATATTCTGAGTTCCATCTGAATGATTCCCACATCTGATTCCAAATGTAGGAGTGAAAGAGGAGTGTTATTTATCAATACCCTCAAGCTCCAACAGTGACATCAAAGTTCACTATTGGGAAAACTGGAAGACAATTTCAGATTGGAACTTATTTATTATGGCATCCATTAGTAAAATATTCAAGGGAGCTGGATCACACATGAAAAATATGCTAAGACTGTAAAAAGGTGTGAAGTTTGAAAACTGTTGAGTGCAGAGCTTAGGATTACTAAATGTAGAAAACATTCCTATGGCCTGATGTGTGTAAGGAGGGTAGCGGAAAAGGAGTGTGAGTTATAGATGGCGGAGAGTAGAAGCAGAATCAAGAAAGCTCTGCTGCAATAAAGGAGAAAAGGGACAAGGGGCTTATGTTCCAGTAGGTATGGGGACAAATTCAGAGACCTGCCTCAGGAAGGCAGCCTGCCTTACCACCGCTAGGTAAATACAACAGGCTCATAGCTCTTAGTGAACTGTGGAAGTTAACAAGATAGTAGGTTGGTCAATCTTCACCCAAAGTGCTCAACTCAATCCCTAGGGATTTTTTGGGGGGTGTAATTGCCTTAGTTTAATAATTAAATTCTATGGGAAAATTGGATTCTCTTTATAGTAGTTGCTTCACAGTTAGCTTTGCTTGAATGCCCCCTACCACACAAAACAAGGGACATCTATATTCATTAAACAGCTGGTTCACGCCCCAGGAATTTTAAATGACAATTTGATAATGTTTACTTCCCCTAAAAAGCACCTTTCACATACCTGTACATTAGGAATTGGGCATTCTTTCTTGAGTAGTTTAAATGAGAAGTAGGACACCTGGTAAATATCCGGCCTTTTATCAGGGTCTGGTTCCAACATATACCCTAAGACAAACATATGTGAACATATTTAATAATACCCTAATACTTATTACATTAGCTAGGAAACATAATTTCTGTTACCAAATGTGTTTTTTTTTTTCATTTTTATTTCTCATAAAATTCAAACAGTGTAATTAGCTCTTTTCCTCCCCTCTCAGAAATGGAAGCTCTAACTTCCCTAAAATTTTTTAATATGTACAAGAAAGTAACAAAGTTTCTGAACTGTAACAAAGATATCTGAAGTTCACATTCTGTGGCTTGTACAACAGGGACTCAAGCAATCTCTCATTATTAAAGTTACCACCTTTATATTCTGGTACCTAGGAAGTTACAGGCTTCTGGCTTCCTTATCTTGCTAAACAAATGATTATCCTTGAGACTTATAATCAAAACCTTTTTTTTTTCCACTTTCTTTCTTTTTTTTTTTCTTTATTAATCTCTACCCCCAACATGGGGCTAGAACTCATGACCCTGAGGATCAATAGGCACATATACACCGACTGAGCCAGCCAAACACCCCTCAAAACTCAAATTTTAAGAACTGACTTATTATTCCTTTGTTGGAGATATTAGCTGGTTTCCATTCTAAAAGAAATTACAAAATGATAAATACATCTTTACTTTCACATAATCTATAGAACACTTATTTATTTCCAGATTCTTGACACCTCTGCCCTTTCCAAAGCTGGAAAAATCCCCAGGAAAAACATCTTTGTGAAGACACACAAACATACACATGCATACATACAAACAACAACGCAAGGCCTTACTGTTTAAGGAACCAAATGAATGGTCTGAACACTAAGTGTAGGAAAGACTGATGAGGCTACAGTCTTGTGAAGGCCTTGCAGAAGGTTTGGGGCGCCTGAGTGGCTCAGTTGGTTGAGCCTCCGACTCTTGATTTCCCCTCAGGTCATGATTTCAGGGCTGCGAGATCGAGCCCTGCATCAGACTCCTTGCTCAGCAGGGGCTCTGCTTGAGATTCTCTCTCCTTCTCCCTCTGCCTTCCCACCTCCCCCTCCCTGCCCAGCTCAAATAAATTAATTAACAAAAAAAAAAAAGAAGCAGGGTTTGGGTTGGTCCTTGAAGGCAAGAAAGAATTTAGTCAGTCAGGGGAAAGAGGAGAAAAAGATATTCTTGGTGGCGGAATAGTCTGGGCAAAAATGCACTTGGGCGAAAGGCAAGGGAAGGCCCTGTTGTGAGGAAATGCAGGTGCCAGAGGACAGAGCAGAGGTTTCCTTGTCGGAGAACACAGGGAAATAAGGCTGGGTGGGTGAGGTGGAACCAGAGTATGAAGGGTCTTAAATGCCATCTAAGAAGCTGGGCCCTACTGTGGGACCACAGGCAAACCAGGAAGTTTACCACAGGGACCTGACAGGGTGGCGCTGTGTAAGACCGATCTCACGGTGAGGCGGGGCTGGGCTGGGCTGACTGAAGGAGGAGAGGCTGGTGGCCACTCCACCCCTACAGGCACGCACCAGCTGAATGTGTATATACTATGGTGACAGTGATGAGAACAAGAGAATGTGGTGGAGACAGGAGAGACTCCAAAGAAAGAGCACTGCTTAGAAAATGCCTGACTTTACTTTCTCTTGCGAGCCAGATCCAAAGAAAACCTTAAATTTCCATTATCCCGGTGTGAATGTTGACACCACTAATAGAAACCGAAAAAAGAGGGGAACTGTGTATTGGGAATAATTGGGCAAGGACAATAAATTTAATTTTAGATCTGTGACTCTAGGGTGACTGTGGGATCTTCAAGTAGTTTGTAAAGAAATAGGTCAGAGTTTGGGAAAGATGTCAGTGTCACAGAAATTCATAAAGAGTTGTTTGTTTTTCCTAATATGAATTTGCTGTACAAATGTTAAAAAGAAAATGTATTACCAAAAAATCCTACCATTCTAGCACCAGATCTGGCCATTTCCTATATATCCTTCCAATCTCACTTATATAGCTGCAGTTCTAGAACAGATATACAGTAGTCCTCCTTATCCAGGGGGGACACGTTCCAAGACCCCCAGTAGATGCCTGAAACCGCAGATAGTACTGAATCCGATATATACTGTTTTCTCCTATACATACATACCTATGATAAAGCTCAATTTATAAATTAGGTATGGTATGAGATTAACTAACAATAATAATAAAACGGAGCAATTATAACAATATGCTACAATAAAAGTTATGTGAATGTGGTCTCTCTCTCTCAAAACATCTCATTATACTGTCCTCACCCTTTTTGTGATGATGCGAAAGCATAAAATGCCTATGTGATGAGATGTTGTGAGGGAATGACACAGGCATGGTGACATAACGTTAGGCTACTACTGACCTTCTGACTATACATCAGAAGTAGGATTGTCTGCTTCCCACTGCGGTCAACTGTGGGTAACTAAAACCGCAGAAAGCAAACCCACGGATAAGGAGGGACTACTCTAATGCTTTACCTCTGAAAACAATCCAGCAACCATTAAAGGCCATACTCCCATTTCTTTTAATACCACCACCCCCCCTTTTTGGCTCATAAACAGAAGAAGTGGATTGATAAAATTGGCCCAGTGGAATCTAAAAGCTATAACGATGTTACCTTGGGTAAGTTACATATATTTTCTCAGCTTCAGCTTCCTCATTTGTATCATGGGGATAATTATATTTACTATATAAGATTTTAAGAATTAAATAAGGTACAAGTAGGCCCTCAACAAATGTCAGATGCTCCACCCATATCTGCTTCTATTTTTTTCAATGCAACCCCAACCAGGACCCAAAAAACTATCCCAGGACTTATAACCCATAATGGTTAAAATTTAGATGCTAAATCCCTTGACCAATGTGAAAAGATGATAAAATATCTCTGTTTCACATTTTGGTACAAGGGCTTGTGCAAAGATTATTGGTTCTACCATCTGGTTAATGAACTGACACATATGCTTGCTAGGATGCTGCAAAAGAGTGGGGAATCTTAAAAAACATTTTAAACCAAGCACTGAGTTTAAATGCTTGTTATCAAAATCCAGTGATTAACCTAAAGAGAGAAAAAACCTTGTTCCACAGAGTTATACAGTCTTAATTATGTATTCACTCCAGCCAACGCATGGCAATCATTTCAATTTGAGTTGCTTCCAGTTTTGCAAAGATGAATTTTTTATCACTTGATAGGAGTCAGCTGGACTCTTTCATACTGCTTGCAACAGAACAGAGCAGTACTGTTCAAAGCACAGTTAGGATTTCTGCTCAAGTGCAAAAGAGCTTAGATTTCTAGCAAAAAGGCCTACGACTCTAACTAGACACCGTTACTCATCTTTGAGTGACCAACCATTACCAGTTGACTTATCTTTGCATCCAACCCATCACTCCTGTGATCCAGTCCCTCTGTCCCCCAATTCATTCCTGGAGATTAGAGATAAAAATATGAAACTAGAAACTTGAAATACTTACTAATTAGGCAGTGCATGTCTTGGGAATATCGAGAGTTATCAGGAATTGTGAAGTTTCCATCACAAATTGCCACCTGACTCTCTCCAAATGGCAAGGTGAAGTAGCATAATTTATACAACAAACATCCAAGAGCCTAAAAAAATAAAGCAGATTGCTACGAGTGGTTTATTTACCGTAACTGCCAATGGGTCTGAGAGATATTGGCATCATCCACATTTATGAGCAGATATAAAAACTCTGTACTATTAACCTATTAGAAACTTGAATTTAGAACTCAACACCACTATTTAGCTGCTGACATACATTATTTCTACCATCATTACCAAATTGTGCTCCAATAAGGAACAAGCATTTCAGCTATTTTATTCTTAAGAACTCGTAACGCATGTATGAAAACCACCTAAATAATGGGCAGGTCACCTGAATAATTTTCACAGAACTCTAAAGTCATTTCCTTTGACATGCTTCACGAGGCAGTGGCTGGTCACGTGGAGTGAAGAATAACCCTGAGGGTTAGGTAGACAGTGACATGGTACAGTGGCCACTCTCACTATGGCACTTTCTGCATTAAACTTGGGAATTTACAGTCAAGACTGCTGGTATCTGAGGTGCGGATAGCTTAGTTGACACCTACCCAAATGTCTGCCTTCGTAGTGATGATTTTGCCACTGTACAGGTTGACCATTTCTGGTGCTCGATAGGACAGCGTTGTGTATCTACAATCAAGAGATTTGTTTTTTGTTAAATATGTCAAAGCTATAATTAAAAACCAGAGGTAGCAGAAATACTTTTTAAATACATATATATTAAATTTAAAAAGTCTAGTTCCCTGGGAGTAATCCGCAGAAGAGAGTATGAAATATTAGTGCAGATAAAATGGAAAGCTATCCTTGGTACACACCCACGGCCCTCTAGAAGCAGTCCTTCCATCTGAGGGCACGTGGAGACCCAGACACTGAGGCACTTCAATCAACACCAAAAGCAACTTTTCTTGGGTCCTCCAATGATAAAATCTTCTGCAAATCCTTGTTGTCTGATAGTATATTTACACTATATTTTCTGATTTGTTCTTAAAAACAGTAATTCCCTTAAATGTGGCTCAACTCAGATATGTAATACTAGCTGATACCCTGGAGGAGGGCAGAAAGTGGGCCCTGGCTGGGGTGGGAGGTGGCTGGCTGGTCTCTGCTGCTGGAAGAGGGATGAAGCAACAGTCTTCCTCTTATCTCTGGCTCAAGGAAAGATGGTATAAGCTCAGCTTCAAAGTGAGTGTCTTGATGTTACCAAGCATGTGACCTATGCTGCTCAAGCCTCTAAAGCCCAGAGGGCACTATGGTTTAGCTGTCCACCAGCACCGTGGACCAGAAGTCTTTCCGCCCCAGCTTGGCTGCCAGGGGTGATGCAGGAAAGGAGACTGAGGTTCAGGATAGAGATATGCATACCAGACTGCTGGTTTATTAGTAGTATCAGTGAGTGTTGTTGCCTGTGAAAAATCCAGCACTCTGGACAAGAGGGGAAAAATGGGTCAGGTTCTTACTGGAGCCAGAAATCTAAAGAGGCTTTTTCTCATCGAAGTCAGCGAGTCAGTATCTGTAGAGACTTCATAGCCCTACTTACCATTAATTCCACTAGATTGGTGAGCTCCTTATGAGCAAGAAGGAGTACACAGCAATGTAGGGTTCAGTGAAAAGCACATCCAGCTGACTGATAATGTCACAGATGCTGTGATTACACTTAAAAACATCACCGTCCCTCTACAGTCTGTGCACCCTTCAGCTTTTTAAGGGCTATGTGACGTAAGTCAAAATATCTATGTACAGTGATCACTGGACCATTGATAAAATGCTATATGATTCCTTCATTTTACTCTACTGATCAATGCTTGTGGACCCCTTCCACATTCTCCACTTGAAATCAAACAACCCAACTGCCAACATGATGTTCTGTGACAAGAGGCACCATGACTAGCACCATGGTCTTCCCACCCTGACCTTCTCATCCATAAGCTGAAAGTACGGTTGCTGATCTGGTCATGGACAAAACTCCAAGAAAGGAGGAAATGCTTACTTCTTAATCTCATCTTCTACTGCATTGACTCCCTCAGTTTGTGGATTCTGAAATTTGTTGGTGGCGCTTCCAAAGTCACACAGGACGTAGTGGCCTCGGTCATGCAAGAGGATATTTTCAACCTGAAAAACATTCCCCAACCACCCATTCCAAGATATTATTTAGTAATGCATATGAAAATTTCGTTCATAGTTATATAACTATTTTATTGCTGATAATCCCATTAATATGCACAGGAAAGTTATTCCCCTCCAAGTATCTCAACAGGGGTCATCCCAAGTGAAGAAAAAGCAAAGCACAGTAACAGGGTGAAATGAGAGTAGAGGGGGCAAATAGAGGAATTCCACAATGGGAAGCAAGAGTCCCATTTTCCTAGATTTCCAGCCACATTTCTCACCTCTGCAGAAACAGTCCTAATACTTTCAAGCCTCTGTATCTTTTCTCATGTTCTTCTTTCAGTCTAGAATGTTCTCTGTGACCCCCAACTCCTTATCCAACTATCAATATCCCATTCATCTGTCAAAATCCAGTTCAAATGGCACCTCTTCTTTGAAGCCTTCCTCAAGGGCCCACCGAGGCAAATGTCACTCCCTCCCACAAGGCCTGTGGGCAAATGTGCAGTTTTCCTATTAAAGTATTATCTTTTTATAGATGAATTCTTTGGACAGTGAGTTAGCAGTTACAGGTAGAAGAGGGCTTACAAATACCAGAACCTACAGAAATCTCTGGTATCAAAGGACTACGCCAATGAAAGAATAACTCCAAAACGGTGGGCACTTCTGCACTCAAGATGTAGTAAGTAATTGTTGGTATAGGTGAACTGAGCTGACTGGTGTGTTGGGGACAGACCTGGCTACACGTGGGCAGTAAAATGGCAGCCAGAAAATCTTGTTAGGCCAGTAAGCCTGTAGTCTCCATTGTCTTTTTTTTTTTTTTTAAAGATTTTATTTTTATTTATTTGAGACAGAGAGAATGAGAGACAGAGAACATGAGAGGGAGGAGGGTCAGAGGGAGAAGCAGACTCCCCGCTGAGCAGGGAGCCCGATGTGGGACTCGATCCCGGGACTCCAGGATCATGACCTGAGCCGAAGGCAGTCGCTTAACCAACTGAGCCACCCAGGCGCCCTCTCCATTGTCTTTTGTCGTCAGTCTTCCAAAGACTGATCATCTTTGGAAAACAAAGGCAAGAGTAGACTATAAGCTCCTTCAACACAAGCACCATCTCTTAATCCTATTTGTAGTCTTCTCTACCAGGGCCTAATATAGTGGTTGCTACAGAAAATATTTGTTGAATGGAATAAGTTAAAAAACAGAAACACACTTAACACTGTGTTTGTGTGTGTGTCCATCTGTCAGAAGCGAGATAGGAGCCACCAAATGCCCAGGCCCTACTACTACTACTGATTCCAAAAAAAAAAAAAAAAATCTGGTCAGTTGTGAAAGTCCCTTGTTCCTATACTTGTTTCTACACTTGCTTTAGTTCTTCTGAAAATTATATTATATATTACAAAAATGTTTATTGTATAGTCTGTATCAGCTAAATCTAATACCTAAAGCCTTTGCTGCAAACTGATTCTTTCGTTTATTGTTTCTTACTCCTACTGAGTCTCACACATGGTGTTGTTATCAGGGGTTTTGTTATTATTGCTGTTAACTCATGTTCCTTGGAATTCATCTGTGGGAAGCCTTTGAGGCCTGAGTTTAAAATCTATTTTTCTTCCAGAGAGGATACGCTTTTGCACCTGGGGCACTATTAACCTATAATCACTTTAATCTAGAATTTTGACCTTGGGATTTTTAAGCACATAGGCAGGGTGAACTATGGCTATCAACTCGAGTGGATATGTTCTTATTCCCCAGAGACAAGGCTGAGGCAAGCAAATATTTCTACTATCTACAGCTTTCTATAAAGCTCGTCAGTTTAACCTATTTACACAGTCAAGCTATCCTGAACATATGCTCACTTGAGGAATCTAAAGTAATTCCAACAAAGCAATACTAATATTTCCAATCTAATTTAGAGGTTATAGACAGATCAGCTACTATTTACTGAGCTTTTACTATTATGAGTAAGTATTACTGTACTCAGCACTTTACATGGATTACCCTCATAATAATATAATAATATCCCTGTTTTACAGATGCAGAGGGTGAGGCTCACAGTGATGAAGCTGGGAAGTAAACCTAGGCAATTTAACTCTAGAGAAAGACAGGTAATAAATTACCTTTCTGCCGGGGCAGGAAGCAAATTAGAAGCAGAGCATTACTCAAGGTCCCCTGCCATAATATCCTCCAACCGTGGTGTGATGAGTATGCCCAGCGTACTGGATGCAAGCTTAAGGGCAGGGCTGCCTTAGTCCTTTATGTTCAGAAATGCCCCATAGTAGGAATCTAGTCGATGCGGAACCAGGTGTCTAATTACTAGCCAGGCTGCTTTGCTCAGTGTCTCTTAAGCACTCCCTGCATCACCTGCTTCGTCCTTTTATTCAGTTGCTCCACTTGTCAAATCTTAGCCATTCTACTAGGCCTCGCTCGCGTCATAAATCCTCAGTAAAATCTTCCACGGCCACCCTATAAAATCTGTAGAACTTACCGTCCGTGAGGGGCTGGCCAAGTAAGACCTTCAGACCAAAGCAAGCCATGCCCTTTCGTCACTTACCCTCTAGTCTACGGCTCCTGCTTTTGAGCTCCGATGGCAGAGCCAAGCCCTTGTGACAGGGACTATATGGCTGACACGCCTAAAATATTTACTGTCTGGTCCTTTGCAGAAAAGTCCGTCAGCCTCTGGTCTATAATTATACTACGCCCGTGCGTGTCCTGCAATAGCCAGTCCGGTATTTCACACGACACGTACCCCTCGATCCCTTATCCAGTGTCAGCAGCAATCATCCTCCCCGGCCTCATGTGAAACCATGTGTCACCTACTGTACATGCATAGCCCCTTCCCCAATTAGTGTCTATACCTCCGACGCTAGAATGTATAATCTAAAAAACTGAAAAGTTAATTCACTTCAAAACACAAACAAGGTAGTTCCAGGGACCAAAATCACTGGGTTGGGGGGAGGAGGCAAACCAAGTAGACAAAGACTGAATAATGATGAGGCACATAAGGGTTTCTGTTTTGTTTTTATCCCCCCGCACCTTAAAAACTAGGTTTGTATTTCTGGTCAGTTTCAGAGTGGCAGAACTCAGCAGATACTCAGTTGATACTCTATCAGCCTGGTCCCCATCTCAGCTTACCTCCTTCCCATAAAGATAACATTGTACAAAACTGTATTTGCAGGAAAAAAAAATAGTTAAAAATGAAGGGTGTGTACAAAAGTGGACACAAAGCCAGAACTATCAATATAGGGGAAAGCCTTATCAATATCAAAGAAATGCTAATGCAGGTAAGAACCAGAAGCCCTGCTCCGGCAGCTCTGTGAGTTTGCTGGGAGAGTCACAAGGTTGTGAAGGTGAACTCGCTTGGCAGGGGCCACCCCAGCAGCTGCCGCACCCTCTGCGCCTTCTCAGTCTGACCCGGTGACTTGGGACACCTGTGGAAACCTCCAAGATCAAGCTGGCCGCTGCCCTTTGTCACCACCGCCACCACCATCAACAACACACTTGACACGGGGCCTGGCATGCGACAACCACACTGGACTTGGAGGTCACAGGACCTCAGGGGCTATTCACATGTCTGACCTCGGAGAAACCTTTAAAGCTCTTCGGTCTTGTTTCTCTTCTGCAAAGTAAAGCTAATAGTATTTCTATCACTGCTGTTATGAAGCAAGTAAGAGAATGTATGTGAAAGCAAACTATAAATCTCCCTATATAAACCTAAGAAGTTATGACCATTCATTTAATAGAGAAACACCCACATTCGAACTCCTACTATATGCCAAAGAGGTTCTGGGGATAAGGCTGTGAACAAATCAAGGTTCATCTGCTCACGGAGCTAAGTCCAGTGGAAGAGAATAAGAAAGTAGGTGTAAATGCCGGGTGGTGATATATGTTATGGGAAAAAAACCCAACAAGTTAAACACATGTGAAGTGAAGAGGGACGCTATTGCAAATAGCACAGTTGGAAAGGTCACTGTGATGAGGTGAGCAGAGACCCAAATGGAGGGAGCAGGCGTGGACCACCTGGGGGAGGAGGTGGCTCTCACAGGACAGGCAGCAGGAGGGCACTGAGATGGCAGCAGGCTTGAGGCATCTGAGACAGAGAGGCCACCACGGCTGGGACAGCACTGTGCTGGCCTGGTGCTGCAAAGGACACTGAAGACACAGGGGCTGGACATTCTCTGGACTAGTGCCCTTATGAATGCGGAGACCAGATTGGGTGGCTTAGTCGGTTGGGCGTCTGCCTTCGGCTCAGGTCATGATCTCAGGGTCCTGGGACTGAGCCCCGCATCGGGCTCCCTGCTCAGCGGGAGTCTGCTTCTCCCTCTCCCTCTGCCCCTCTCTCTGCTCAAGCTCTCTGTCTCTCAAAAAACAAAACAAAACAAAACAAAAAACCAAATGAATCCTTAAAAAAAAAAAATGGTATCAGCAACTAACAGCACTCACTATGAGCCAGATGCTGCCCCCTGTACTTTTACCGACAGTAGTTCATGAAATTCTTACAAAGCCTTATTGCCCCCACTTAAGAGATGAGAAAACAGTCCAGTTACCTAATGTGCCTGAGGTCACAAGGCTGGTAGGGCAGGATGTGGGCTTGGGCTGCTTGACCGCTGAGGCTACCCCCTCCCCACGGCACTGATGGGCATTATGCAGTTACTGCGGAATGTGGGCAGCTCAGACGGGGGACCGCGAAGGGAGCAGGAAAGAGGACCAGAGCAGCTGACAGATGGCAGACTGGGGAAGGTCCCCTTGGGAGCCACTCAGCAGCAGATGAAAAGAGTATTTGAGGAAGGTTAGCCAGTGACAGAGGAGAAGGAGGAAAGCGAGAGCAGGTGCAATCGTCCAGGGGGAAGGTGACTAAGGTCAGGGCTAGAGTAGGGCCCAGAGGGATTAAGTGAGACTAGGAAGGTAGAGAACCAACTGGACCTTCATACATCATCTTCTGGAAGCTCCAGAGAATTTGCAGGGTGACTTTGTTTTTGGCAAAGTCCTTTAGGATATTACCCCTGCTTACAATCCTACAGTCTTCCAGCTCTTTGAGGGTTTAATGCTGCTGACCTTACTTCTCAACCTACTGGCTTAAGAGGGTTATTAAAGTCGTCACTCCCAAACTCTGCTCATAGCTTTAGCTAAAAGGTCTGGAAAGCCACCTCCTACTGACCCTTCATCTTGACATTATTCCAAACAGAGATGGCATTCGGGCATTTCAGTCACAGAATTTATTACTACTAGAAATTCTGAGGATAAGGTAAATGAAGGTTTTCAAACTTACAATTCTAAAAACGGGACAAGAATCTTCATCCTATTGTACTTTGTGAAATCAAAATCTCTTTTCTGACAAAAGAGGAGACATTCATGACTTTTTCAATCTGAATGCAGTTATTAAATCTTAACCCTTCCTTCCCCTTTCTTAAGTACCTGAACAAACAGCACAGTGTAAGAGAGCAAAACCAACCAAACAAAAACCAAAATGGAAGTAAAAAACTGTGGCCTTTGCTCTGGTTTGATCACAGAATTAGCTGTGCAGGTCACAGCCTTTCTGGGCAGAGGTTTCCTCACTGGTAAAAGGAGAGGGCTGGCTCAGGTGACCTTCCCAGCTCTATGACCCCATGATCTGCAATGATCTCTTTCTTTCCTCAGAGAGATAAAAATGAAAACAAAACAAAACAGGGAAGTGATGAAAATGTTAAAATAATGTATTAGAGGAAAGACCTCCAATGAAGAACAGAACTTCTGTCCTGGTTATTTTTAGAACATAAGCTGCTTAAAGACAGGGACTGCTTTCAACTTATTTCCTACACAGTATTTGAAAGAAAGACGGCACACGTGGTGGGCAGGGCAAGAGGGGGCTTCCCTCAGTTCTGCATGTGAACAATGGACCCCCACGCAGGGCGGCACTGGCTCCACAAGGGGATCCACAGCTGGCCTGGCCTGCCACATCTTTCATGTCCTACTGACTTTTATTCACGGTGGTGCCACCTCACCAGATGTAAGTCCCGCTCAGAGAAGCACCTAAAGACCAGCCACCAGCACTCTGTCTGGCCAACAGGGGGATAAAGAACTTCGTGGCCCTGGCTACTGCTGGCACTGTGGTGGCTGGATATGGAGCTCAGAGTGTCTGAGACTATGGGATGGCAAACAGGGAGGTACACAGGGACTTTGCAGTTGGGCCTCAGGAGGCTGGCAGTGTGGCAGGCAAAGGGGACTGCCCGCCACGCATATATGAGCAGAAACCAACAAAAGCTCACTTGCTAACAAAAGCAGCTAGATGGCACAGAGTGGAGGGTATGTGGAGTTTGGGAAAGCTTCCATCAAAACAACCAGGAGTTGACTAAAATCGACAGTGGCAGGACTCTTCTGGAACAATTACAATCGAGGCCTCCTCCCAGGGGCCCCCTATTCACATACAACTATTTCCAAGGTAGAGGAGAAATGGCAACAGTCTCCTGAACCACTACCGGCAAGCCAGCTGCTTGCCTGATGGTCTCCACTACGGATTAAGACACAACTACAGTGGTGCCTGGGTGGCTCAGTCGCTAAACGTCTGCCTTCGGCTCAGGTCATGATCCCAGGGTCCTGGGATTGAGCCCTGCATCGGGCTCCCTGCTCGGCGGGAAGCCTGCTTCTCCCTCTCCCACTCCCCCTGCTTGTGTTCCCTCTCTCGCAATCTCTCTCTGTCAAATAAATAAATAAAATCTTAAAAAAAAAAAAAAAAAAAAGACACAACTACAGAGTCCAACACTGTGTTGCCAGCACTGTGCCGACTCTCTGGAGCACCGAGGAGGGTGGAGGGGTACAGGGCTCGGGGGCAAGCTGGGGAACAGAACACGGCAGCCTCTCCTCACTCCTGCTCTGGCCTCTCCTCCGATTCTGCTCTGGCCATGTTCCTCCGTTAAAATATCTCAGGGACTGTTCGGTGCAGTGAAGAAAGCGTCTGGGGCTCCCACTGCCCGAGCCCAAGCTCTGTCCTCCTCCCTGTCCCCGGGCTAGACCTGGAGCTCCGCTCCAGACTTCAGGCTCCTCACAGCACTGGGAGCACCACAGGGCACTGATATGCTGGGAATATGTAAATTAGGTAGGTATCATCGACAGGTATGCAATGACTCATCACCGAAGCCTCATTTAATCCAGTTAAAATAAAGGAAGATTTTAAGAACATGGGAATAGCACTCTCTACAAGGATGCTCAGTGGTCATCTCTGCCTCCTCCCCTTGCCCTTACCTCCATGCCCCCTCAGGCACTTAAGCACGCTCTGAAGCCTCCTTGTCCCCTTCTCTAGGAAGCCCTTGGGCTCTGCTCTCTATCTAAAATGCCCTTCATCCTGTCTGTGACCACCCATACATATCCCACCAGCCTGTGAAGTCCCACTACTCCAGAAGATTCCAACCTCCATTACCTGGTCCCACTATCTGACCATACATTAAGCAGCTCGATTCTCTGCTGTTCAGCACTTTGTTCTAGAACTTTCATACTTCACCTGTCACTATTCCAAGTCTGAACATTTCATTTATATCCTCTCACCAACACTTAAACATCTTGGGGGTAGGAACCATATTATACCTGTACCACCTCCACAGAATTATGTACTTGTACTATGCTAGACTCGTAATAATTACTGAAATGTATTCTCCCTTTTCTACTCAGAAAAAGGGCTGACTACAGAGGGACACTGGAGAAGCTATTTAAGGCTTTTGAAGGTATGTACTATCTTCCCATCAGCGAATGGCTTCAGTACAGAAATGCCAATATGTATGTACCACTTTACACCGACTGGGATGGCTAAAATGAAAAAGGACAAGAAGGGTTGGTGAGGATGTGGAGAAATTGGAACCCTCATATATTGTTGGTGGTATATAATATAGTACAGCCACTCTGGAAAATAGTTTGGCAGTTCCTCCAAAAGTTAACTGTAGTTACCACATGACCCAACAATTCCACCCCTAGATGTACACACAAGAGAACTGAAAACATATACCCACTTCAGACTAGTACACGGATGTTCATAGTAGTCTTTTCATACTATCCGAAGTAGAAACAATTCAAAGGTCCATCAACTGATGACTAGATAAACAAAATGTGGTCTCTCCACACTAGGACTATCATGCCATGAAACGGAATGAGGTACTGCTACATACCACAACACAGATGAACCCTGATACCATTATTAGGTGAAAGAAGTCAGATACAAGAGGCCACTTATTCTGTGAGCCATTTATATGAAATGCACAGACCAGGCAACAGAAAGCAGATTGGCGGTTGCCTGGGGCTGGGGTGAGGTGGGAATGAAGAGTGATTGCTGATGGATACAGGGTTTCCTTTCAGGAGATAAAATGCTTTGGAATTAGACAGTGAAGATGGTTGTAAAGCCTTGTAAATTTGGTGAAAGCCACTGAATTGTATACTTTAAGAGGGTGAATTTTATGGTTATGAATTATATCTCCATTTTTTAAAAAGCTAAAAGAAACAAACAAAAACCTTGACACAGAAATGCTAGTAGGCTGCTATGATCCTCAAACTTCAGAATATACAAAACCCACGTGGGGTGATGATTAAGCTATGGATTCCTGGGCTTCCCTGACACCGCCACAAAAGTGACGGCTTGACAGATTCCATGTGGAATCCCGTAGCCTACATTTAATCCGCACACCAGGGGATGCGGATCCAAGTTACTAGCCTCGAAGCAGGTTTCTCAAAACACAGGTACTTAAAGAAACTGTAATTTAGAATCAGAAGAGCACATTCGGGTCCTGCTCCTTCCTGGTTATATGACCTTAGTCAAGTCATGTAACCTTTCTACTCCTGAGTTTCCCTAACTCTAAATGTAAAGAAGAACATCTTCCTCCAAGAGACAGTGTGTGTAAAGTGTCTAGTAGGGTACGTGGCATATAGTTGGTGTGCCATACATGTTGGTGAATCCTAACCAGGTGCCAAGTCCATTCAACAAACACTGTCAAGTGACTATATAATAGGAAAGGCCCAGTACAAGAAGACAGTGATTAACAGAACAAATTTTGAAAATAATCACTTACTGGATTTTGCAAAATATGAAGCAGACGTTAAAAACCAAGCATCGCTGTTTGCAAACCATTTAAATTAGTGTATCATTTTCCATACCCCTGACAAAGTAAATTTGGGACTACATCAGGAAAAGCAAAAACAACATGTATTCAGGCATTTGATGATTATAAAGAATTTCTAAAGGCTACTTAAGTAATAAAAGCAATACCTGTACCGTACTTTATTTTTTTTTCTTTGTGTCTTCTCTCGCCAAGCAGAATGTAAGAAATGTCAGGTCACCACGCCTGTTCTCTTATATCCCCAAAGTGTCTCCCTCGTTCCCGGGGCAGATAGGAAATCCTCTGTAGGAATGTACTTAATGAAACAGTGCGGCCTTTACCTTCAGGTCACGGTGGATAATAGGAGTTTTGCACTGATGCAGGCGGGCAACAGCTTCGCAGGTATCACAAAATATCTGAAGCACTTCATTCTCCGTAAAACCTGTTTGCAGGCGCTGGTTCATCAGGTTGACCACCTGGCCTCCTGCAAGGGGGCACAGAACAAGCGAGAGGTTAGCAACATTCAGACTCACTACTTACCCAAGACAATGAATGGCTGTCCACAGAGGAGCAACCTGGACAGAGGTGACTGGCTGAGCCACGACTGCAACCCAAGTGTCTTGATTCCCAGACCCAGATTCATCTTCTTACAATCCAGGTCCTTCTCTAATGCATCAAAACCAGTTTACTTTATGAAGTACTCCAGACGTGGGCTGCCTTTGTGACATCTTCAAGATCAGTAGAACTGACAATCTGGTCCTGCTATAGCCGCTTGGTTACACTGTCCCCGTTTGTATGAGACAAGGCCACAGGTTCAACCTGCCACATCTTTTAGTAAGAATCAGACTGCACAATAGACCCCAGGAGCAGGAAGAAGACAGCTTTATAGTCTGTACTTTAGGAATGGCTCGGTTTCTCTGGCTTCACTCACTACTTGCTGCCGAGGATGTAGAAATGCTACACCAATATTTCATCTCCAGGACCAAAAGACTGAGGACCTCACTTACACAAAATTATCCAGATCCCCAGATGCTCCCACTGCCTTGTCTCAAAACATTTTACCATGCAAAAAGGAATGGACAGGAGGAAACAAACTGTCAAGTTCAAATTTGGTAGTGTCTTAAAAAATCAGCTTAAGAGTTGTTACAGAGTAGGCTGAAATTACTGGTTAACATCATATTTTGGGGATTAATAACATATTTAATTTATGGACAGTATCTTTAAAGGCAAGGAAAATGTCAGTGGAAGTAAGGGTGATTATAAAACAGGGCACCAAACAGCGAGGCAGTGACCCAAGCTTGTAAGTGGCAGTTGCTTAGGCCAAAAAAGTCAAACCTCCAAACTGGTTGTGTGAAATGCAGTCAGCTCTGAATCAAGTCATGCTACAGTCTGTATTTCCCAAGATAAATGTTGCTTGAAACTCCAAGCTTTCAACTACTTAACTCCACTGTTCACAGCAGCATCGTTTGAATATAGCCTTACTGGAAATTACAGCTCGAAAGCAAGGAGAGGAAAGGTCATTTCCATTAGACGAAAAGGATTATTTTCCCCTATAACACAAGGATGGAGGTGTGGGTGGAGAAGAGAACACATGAGGGAGGGAGTGGGGAGGCTGAATCGTTTCTTCGGTCCATCTGGAGTTGGGTCTTTATTATGTGCCTTCATCGCTTGTTTTAAAGCATCACAAATAACACATTCATTCTCACCCTCATCCATTCTCATTCATATACAAGCACCAAACCTTCCTAAAGCCAACAAAAGGGGAGTTTTGTATTATCTACCACTTCAGATTGTTTGCCGTAGTAAGAATAACCAAGAGGTGAGAGCAGGCTCTGTATCTTTCTTTGCACATCTTTAAAAATAGAACAACATACATTAGGGCACAATGCACATTAATTGAAATGAGCCCCATGCCCTTGACAATCAAAGTGCCAGAGCAACGGGAGCTCAAGGTGTGGGTCATATACTTACCCCTACAGAAGTCCATCAGAATGAGCACTTCCCATACATCACCACTGCTCACATTGTTGATACTGGAGTCAATGTAACCGACAATGTTCTTGTGCCCCGATAGGTCTCTCTTTTATAAAGAAGAGTTGAGAAATATAGTATGAGATACAGATACCAATAGAGACATAATGAGCCCGTTGGTTCCATTAGCACAGATAATTTAAATGCAGATGACCTTAACTGCAATGAGAGGTAAGACTGAAGAGGGGGGTCAAGAGCAGGTTTCCAGTGGTCTCTGAGATTCATGGCCAGATCTTCAGTAAATGCTTCTACAATCCTACTAAACCACAGCACTCGCCTGAACAAGATTCTGGAATCTGATGCACACAGGGTGCCTGCTTGTTCGCTCCATCAGTGCTCCATGTAAGCCAGGAGCAAAGGCGCCTATCTCCAGAAGTACTGCAGAGAGTGTGAGCCAGACAGTATGAAGTATTTAAACGTGTGAATTTTTAATTCAGAAAAATGAAACTGGTGGGGTTTTTCCCTGGTTGTAGATACACAAGTGAATTCAACATGACTTTTAAATTGTTTGTACTGTTTTTCTCCCTTTAGGAAATATGTGAAAAGAACAACTGCTTTACAAAGTTTTGAACAGACTACAGTGGCATCCAGACCTAAACATTTTGCTCATAATTAAGCCTTTCAAGCCAACCAAATGGAATATAAGACGGGTCATGTTTCCAGCTCTCTGGTTGGAACTGCATATGCTCTCTCAGGGGTGCTTATGGAATTCACTTAGTCAACAAATGTACATTAAGCACTTCCTATGTGTCAGGACCCATTTAGGCCCTAGAAGTTGCCTCACACCTTGGTATAGTTATTTCAACATCCATAGAGGCAAATCTTTGTAATGATGATGTTTAAAATCCAATGTCATCAAGAAGTAAGTTGGGGAAAGAAAAAGTGAGCAAGCTGGATAAAAGGATTTTTGCACAAATACAAGATTTAAAAAAACTCGTTTTAATAAATTATTTTACTTTTGTTTAAAAAAAGGGGAGGGGAGTGGAAACATAAGTGGTTCTGAGTCACCAGACAAACATGACAGTTCAGGCCATAAAAACAGTAACTACCTCTACACAAACTAGAGATTTGGCTGCTTAGAGTGACATATAAAGTCTCTTTTAATCTGAAATTATATACCAAAACAAGAAGAAATCTCATAGTATCAAAAGAATATACCTGAACCCTGAGCATCAAAGTTAAAATTCATTAGAACTTTCCTGTGAGGGAGGGAGTAAGAATGACTATTGCTTCAGAAAGGTAGACAAAAATAAAAATGTGACCGCTGGAGCTGACAGTGGGAAGTCAATGGAGCCCTATGCAAGAACAGTTTCAGAGAAGGGATGGGATGGGGGCTGGGGGGAGGGGAGAAATGGACTTGCAAAGAGTTGAGCACATAGAGCTGGTGACTACAGATGAGTCTTCTGGAACATTCTGTGCTCCAGAGAGGAACAGCATTGCCAGAAGGAATTAATTCTCAGGATGAGAGAGGCCTGAGCATGGGAGAGTGGAAGGAGCCAGGAGCAGAAACCTTCAGCATACAGGAGAGGACGAAGGTTAACTGATGGAACCTAGTCCTGCAGGAAGAGAAGGCGGGGACTGGTCTTAGAAAGAGGAGCCGGAAGGAAATGAGGATGGATATGCATATTGGTTTACAGCTGGAGAAAAGGGAACTTCAGTGAGTTCAGTTCTATTGTTCTGTTTCTGGTAGAGAGCAAGACCATGTTTGCAGTATAAGGGAATGAGAAAGAAGCTTGATGAGAGAAATAAAAGGCTTAGAGCAACTACTTTGGATAACAAACAAAGGAGATGATGAGGCAGAAAAAGCAGTCTCTCGAGTTCTGCACAACAGAACGTGATTTCAGGGTTCACGTCGCAGAGGCCCGTTCTTCCCCCTGCTTTTTACTCTCATCACCAACTCTTCAAAAACTTGATTTCATTTACACAGTCGAGGAAGGAGGAAGAAATGGAGAGGAGTTCTTGAAGCCAAAATAGAGCAGAAGATCATGTTCTCCAAATGTTCACAGGCGGAATGAAAGACTAATGTTTCCACATTAGTAATCTGTCTACATTTAACCGTTTAAAAAAGAATCAGCAATGCTACCTCTGATTTGTCTCACCCCAAGAGGAATAATAAAGAATCAGGATGGGAAAAAAAGCATTTGACAGAGCCAAGAGGAGGTCAAGAGCTATTAGAGGACCCAAACTGGATAATTAACATCTGCAGATGGCATCCTACAACAGTTGCCAAGCTGTTTGCTGATCAGTTCAAGTCCAAATTCCTCTTCATTTTGTCTTCTGCAGAGTTCCTGAGAGACGTCCAAGCAGAAAAGATCTCCTTTGGAGGGAGACCACGGCACTTACTTAACGACCTGATGATGCAGCAACATCTCAGATTTTAGAGTAACACCTCACTAGTCTGCAACTGATGGAGAAAATCGATTTGAATGGCTGTGAAACGCAGAAAAGGTCAAGAGAAAAACTTACTGCAAAGTGAGACTGACTCACACTGAGGGTGCCACTGCCCAGTTTGCAGCAGCAATAGGCCAGAGGAGGCCCAAGCATTCCCTGGCTTTCATTAAAAGCACAGTCCCAGGCTTGGAGAACAGAAATGGACATAGAGGTATGGGACAGAACCCACACGGTACTGGAGCTCAATTACTCGGGAAAAGGCAGGATATAAAGAGGATGCCTTGATGCCCTTGGCTACAACTATTATTTGGGGTACACTGAGATAAAAATCTATATGATGAATATAAGCCAAAACCTGATTTTCAGGGGAGTGAGAAATGTTCAGTTAAATTATAGATCAGATCAGTTTATATTACATGATTTAAACAGCGATGTCTAAGGAGTGTGTATTGTCATTTTAAACTTTATTTTTATTTTATTTATTTATTTTTTAAGATTTTATTTATTTATTTGACAGAGAGAGACACAGTGAGAGAGGGAACACAAGCAGAGGGACTGGTAGAGGGAGAAGCAGGCTTCCCGCCAAGCAGGGAGCCCGATGCGGGGCTCGATCCCAGGACCCTGGGATCATGACCTGAGCCGAAGGCAGACGCTTAAGGACTGAGCCACCCAGGTGCCCCTAAACTTTATTTTTAGATTAACATTACAATTAACATTAACAAACTTTATTTTTAGATTAGAGTACTGACATAAACGTGCTCTTAGAAGACCTGCTTTATTTTATTTATTTATTTTTTTTTATTTTTAAAGATTTTATTTATTTATTTGACAGAGAGAGACACAGTGAGAGAGGGAACACAAGCAGGGGGAGTAGGAGAGGGAGAAGCAGGCCTCCCGCCAAGCGGGAAGCCCGATGCGGGGCTTGATCCCAGGACCCTGGGATCATGACCTGAGCCGAAGGCAGACGCTTAACGACTGAGCCACCCAGGCGCCCCAGAAGACCTGCTTTATTAAGTAGATATTTTCAATGATTTGTAGTTGCCTTATTAATATTAATATTAATATTAATAATATATTTAACTGTTTGTAGTGCTAAAAAACTTTCTTCATAAATACATGCAAAAGCTGCCATTTGAAAATCATGCCTTCAATCCAGATCTTACAGGTTATCACAAATCTCAAGTTTATCTGGGGTCCTAATTAATGATGCTTGTAGCACAAAACAGTATCCTATCCCTATCTTCAAAATTCCTACAGCAGGAGGATTCCTCGTTAAGAATCTTGAGGCCTTAAGGGAGGACTTAATCCCTAAGTACATCTATAAAAACCTTTATTATATAAGTTCAGGAAAACAAAGAAGATAGCATTCTAAAGAGCATATTAATAACATGTCACTCACCTCCCAATAGTAAAAATGAGTATGGTATATAACTAATTTCCCTATATATTTGCTCAGGTCACCCTTCCTTGGAATGTCAGCATGATACCTGCCAATTTCCAGTATGGATAGCGCTTGCATTTAAACAGATTAAGTTTCCAAAGAGATAATTTACCTGCTTTGACCCTCCATTCAAATATTCATTGTTTTCTGCTTTTATGACTTATCACTATTGCTGCTTATTTCTGGGATCACACCAGGGTTCCACAGACCCTTTTAAGCAAATTTCAGCTTCTTTTTAACTTAAAGGTGAAGGAATCCAGTTCTAAAGCCTGAAATTTGTTTACTTCTCCTACTGGATGCTTTGTGAAAGTCTTCTGCCTTACTTTTCTTTGCTCCTTTTCCCCTCAATTACTCTGAATTTCCGTTATAACTCTCTTCACAAGGAGTTATTCACAGGCACAGTAAAACATCAAGTCCAGTACAGCAATGAAAAGAAACACTGTGAGATCTAGGCTGGCCCTGGTGTTCAATGAGGGCCAAGGTATCTAAGCTTCTGCAACGTAAGAAGTCTCAAATACTACTCTCCTTCCCATACTCACATTGACTCTCCCTTTCCTGAGTCTTACTCATTAATTAATCCTGTACTTACTGAACAGATCTTTAAAGTCATCTAAAATCTGATTTAGAACAGTGCTGCTCAAACTTTAATAGGCATATGAACCACCTGGGGATCCTGTTTAAAAGCAGATTCTAATCCAGTAGCTCTAGGAAAGGGCCCAGGATGTTGCTCCTCAGTGGCATTTAAAGTAGGAAAGATCTAGAGCAGCACTACTCAAAATGTGACCCACAAATATGTGCTGGTTAGTAAACTGTTACCAGCCCAGAAGGAGATAAGAAGCTTGTTCCAGGACATAAATCAATTAACTAACCAAGCTGACTTGTTTCTTTTCCTAGTTCCTTGATTTACATTCTGGCACAACATCCTCTGAATAGCACCCATACGTTTACAGCCAATTGATTTCTTTTTTTTTTTTTTTTAAGATTTTATTTATTTCTTGGACAGAGAGAGACATAGTGAGAGCAGGAACACAAGTGGGGGAAGTGGGAGAGGGAGAAGCAGGCTTCCCGCCGAGCAGGGAGCCCGATGCGGAACTCGATCCCAGGGTCCTGGGATCATGACCTGAGCCAAAGGCAGATGCTTAACAACTGAGCCACCCAGGTGCCCCCAGCCAATTGATTTCTGACAAGGGTGCCAAAACAAGTCAATGAGGGAAAGA